ACCTTCAGGTGTGTCAATGACATATATATATATATATATATGTATGTATATATGTATGCATATATATTTATAAGCCCAGTTTTTCAACTCATCTCTATTTTTTCTTTTATTAAACTGCATACTCTATTTTAGATTTATTCTCAATATAAAGCTAAACAACTGAAAAAAACCCAACAGAATCCACAAGAAGTCTGGCTTGCAGGCTTGTGAAATCCAATGCTGACAAGAATTAGCCACCAGAAGTTAATCCATTTTAATCCATTTCCAAGGTCATTCCTATAGATGAGTGACTACATCCAATATCACCAGCATGCTTGTTTGGCAGGGTTCAACAGGTATTGTCATTCCCCACAACAACCAGATAACTAGTGCCTCTCCACTTTCTCTGTGTCACACAAAGATTTCAGAGTTACAATAAGACACACACAGCCACTTAACATATTTGTGTTAGAGCTGCATTTCACTTCAAATGTGGCAGAACTAGGCCCTTCAAGGGTGGAACCTGATGGTCTTGGAGGTCTTTGCCAGCCTTAATAATTCTATGATTCAAGACAGTAGGCACTGTTTTGTCTACCTCTTCTCCAAGTGTTGACTACAGTCTTCCCAATTAAGCTCTGTAAACTAGAAATTGTCAGATGCACAACCAGAGTTTCGGCAACAATATGCTATCATGTAACCATAGTGACATTAGTTTTTATACTGCTAATTAAGATATGAAGCAGTATATTTGCATTCATTTTAGCAACATGCTAAAAGCTGTTTAAAACACAATCTTGACCCAATTATTGTCTCAAGATAAGGACAGGTCAAGCATTGTCCCCTGTGTCTGAAACTGCACTTGAAACGTGCATTGTTGCTCTAAGGACAGCACTACCCGAAAAGTTAAAGGTTTTGAGTTTTCTTTTGTGGCTTTTGGGGTTGGAGTTTTTTGTGTTTGGGATTTTTTTTAAGGTAATTAAATTTCTCAAAGGTAAGCAATGCTCTGAAGTAGCTGTATGAATACAGATGTACACAGAACCCTAATTTTCCTCAGTTCACTGCAAGTCTTATTCACCTGATACTGTTACACTAAACTTGTTATGCGAAACAAGCTTTTCATTCTTTTCTTGTCCATCCTTCTCAGACAGTGGAAAGAAGCACAGCCATGTATCTTCCCTTTCTCATGAATGGCAGGGCCACAACATTGTCTTCCTTTTCTTTTAAGCCTTTCCTTGATAAACAATCCCAAAAGGAACTACAACTGCCTCAGCAGTCAACTATGACACAGGATGACAGAGACACAGTACTAAGTGGCAGTGCTGCAGCAAGAATCCTAACACATTTCTTAACAGATAGAGGCAAAGGTGAAACACTGGACTAAAATTCAGAAGTTGTCTGTTAGCCTGATGCAACCTTCTGCAAATCACACCTCATGCCTCAGCTTCCAATTTATAAAATAGGATAGAGATTTCCTTCTCCCACTATTGAAATTGCTTCTAATGTGTTACATTTATCAGACTTACTGTGAAATGAACTTTCCTTACAACAGACATAAATAAGCAAGTAAATCAAGACATGAATCCTAATTAAATTAATACTAGTGGTCAACTCAACAATTTTGTAACCGATGTCAAATTTCGATGGAGTTTGACTTGTGCAGCTCATCCTGCCTTCCACTGGTAAAACGTCACAGCAGCTGCTCACATAAAGATGAACACAGAAAGGATTAAAGGATAGCAGCAGCAAGATGTTAAACACTTTAGAGCCAAGCCAGAGGAATGAGGCAACTTATACATTTTATGGATCCATAAAGGAAACAGAATGAAGGGAAGGAAAGTTCAGAAGTTTATTGAACAGAAACATTTTTACAGTGCTTTCAGCTTGCAGCAGTGGCCTCATTAGAACTCCTGGCACCTCTGATTTCACTAGAAGTGGCCAGCGCAGACCATCCTCAGATGGACTGGTTAGTCAACTATGGTTCAATGAGCAAGGTTCTCACCATCACTGCACAATGAGCACACTGTCACCTGGAGAAGCACTTCCTCTTTCATATCTAACTGTACACACAAATACCACTTAAATAGTTTTTCAACAGACAAAATTTAATTCTAAAATAAAGTCACTTTGTGGCACTAAAATTGCTTTAGAAACTTTTTTTCTCCTAATGGACTCGTCTACTACTGTCAGTGAAAAAGATGCCAAAATACTCATTACACAGCACCTATCCTGCTCTCCTTTGTTCTTCTACCATGCCAACTGATTTGTGCAGCTTACTTTAGATATCATCTTTGAAAGACAATTTCTGCCTTGAATTACTAGTGCCTTGTGAATTGATTACATTTTCTTTCACATCAGCTCATCTGTGACTCTAGAATGAAAACATGAAGACACTTTGGAATCAGTGACTTTAACCCATATTAAACACAGCTAGATAAATAGCCAAAGTATGGCTTCTAAATCAAGATTAAAAATAACTTGTCTGAAACTGAAAGGTTCCCCTCCACGTACATATTTACATAAGGAGCCACAAAAAACGCCTCACCCTTCTAAAGTAAAAGGAGAAGTTCATTTCCTAGTACAAAAGATTAACATGGCCTTGAGTGTTTACATTTGTCAGCACGAAAACTCCATACTGGTTAAGTGGTGCTTTTATGTTTTCACTAGAACAGCTGATAGAAACCTAGCAAGGTTTCAGTGGCAAGGACAGGATTTCTTAAAAGTTTATTTTGTATGAAATTTTACAAAAGTAGAGTGGCCACGTCAATCTGATGATGAGCAAGCAGGTTTATAGGGAGATAGAATTTCATGAAAATTAGTAGATAGAGCTAAAACCCCTGTTTTCAAGCACGCAAATCCTCCTGCAAATCATGTACATTACAAGAGCTACAGACATTCTGTATTTTGAAAACAGCAACATAATGATTCAGGAACAGCAGTCAGTCAAGTACTAACAGACACAACCAGCATCTCCTGCATTTCAAAGACAGCCACCATGATTCTATAGCCTAATCAGAGGTTCAAATTCCCTCTTCTTGGTTGATTTCTGTGTTTGTTTTTTCTTTGGTTGTTTGCTTGTTTTTTCATCTCTTTATATAGAAACATAATATTAGGAACACTGAATGTGGTGGAAAAAGAACCTACCACAGTCTTGACCACTGATTTTGATAAATGGGTAGATAAACAGCATGACTGAACCTCGAAGCCATGCTACCATGCCATTAAACAAAGGAGCAGAACCCAAAGGGAAGATCAGAAGGCATCTCCTTTATCTAATTATATCTCTGTAATAAGGACTGTTGTTTCAGCAATAAAGTTCCAACTTTCAGTGCAAGCATCCTAACTAGGCAGTTGAGGTAGCTGTGATGAAAGACAGCTCGCTCCTATAAATCACAGGTAAAGTCATCCAAGGTGCTCAAATCCAGGAAGAGATTTCAAGACTATTAAGAGCTGGAGAAGATACCAAAATTCAAGACAGTATTTTGTCTCTCTAACTAAAGGCAACAAAAATTTGTGACTGCAGGCAGTTCCTAAGTTACTCCTAGACACCCAACACTCTGATATAAAACATACAGAGTTTCAGCTCTTTTTTAAACGTGTCACTCCTAGAGCCATAAAACTACCATAGTAATACCACCACATCTCACCCCTTCCTCTCCAAGAAACTGAATATAGCTCGAATCTTGTTAATGTGGACTCTTGAAGCTTTCTGTTCTGAATTAGAATAAGTTCTACTCTTCAAGGCAACATTAGTTAAAATAGAAAGTTTATGTCCACTGACTGATCATAGTCATTCTTTGACAATTCCTTACCTACATATGCTGCTGTCTTCTGAAAACCATGCAGAACAGAGACTGAAGTAACACAGTCCCATGATACTACACTACAACTTCTGCAACAAGTCTTTTACATAATGCACTAACTCATGTAAATCACTTCGCAACACTGAAAAAGTTGTCAGACACAGAACCAGAGTTCAAGAGACCCCAGTTCTGTTCCAGTCATTATCTGTCACCCTGGACTTAAATTTTCTGTAACTACATGGAACACCAGAGACAAATTAACACGTTCTCATTGTTACTACCACAAAATTACCTTGCAATGCATGCTGTCTCAGCAAGCACCAGCTATTTACAATGAATGTACACTACAAGACGGCCTACAGGAAATTTCTGCAATGCACATCTGTATTGCCAGAGAGCTATAAAGCAGCAAGCTATGCTATTTCTCATTAAATGAAAGTAACGTTTCTAGTTAGTGCAACTAAGGCACTTACGCTGTGAATTCACGACCACGGAACAGTGTCCCACCGTTCTCCCGACCAGGCTAGGCTCTAGTGTTATTGAAGAAAGCACTGTAGCCAGATGGTAGCACTTAATTTTTCTGTGATCTGTTAGAGATTCCCAAGACTTTATAAGTGTGCTAAGAAACCTTCACATTACCTATTATGAAACCTGCCGGCCAGCGTGAACAATGAAGAGTTTCAGACCAAGTAACCCCAAGCAGCGCCGTCCCACTGCCAGCTCTGACAGGACGTGCGCCCCCCGCCCTTTGACACAGGGTGCCAAGCCTCCCAGTTCCCCAAACGCTGCCTGTCTGCTCGCCCGTCGCTCCACGTTCTTCCCAGTCCGTGAGATTCCCCCCTCTCCTCCTCGGACGGGGCCCGGACCAGCCGGGCAGAGGCGGCGGGCCCGGCAGAAGCGCGAGGGCGGCTCTGCCCCGCGGCGCGAAGGCGCGCAGGCCGGGCCCCTGCCCGGCAAGGCGGAAGCGGCGCCCGGCGGCGCAGGACCGAGACCGACCCTCCCCGCTCACCTGCCCCGGCGGGGAGGCCTCGCCGCAGAGCGCGGGGCTCCAGGGGCCGAGGCGGCCGCTCCCGCAGCCTCCGGCCGCCCCTCATCCACAGCCGGGCGCGCGCCGCTCCGCCGCCGCCTCGCGCGCCGCCATCTCGGCCCCGTCACCCGGGAGACGCTCCCGCCCCTTCCGGCCGCGCCGCTCCTCTCGGTCCCGATCCCGGAGCACGGCCGGGCCGCGCTGCCCCCGGCGGCCTCACCACGCCCGCCTCTCCCGCGTGGACCGGCGGCCGCTGTGCCGAGCCGCGGGGGAGTCCCACCCGGGTCTTTGTCCCTTGGAGGAACTGCGATCAAAGGACATTGTGCTTTAGCGGTCTCAAGGTGCTGCACACGTGGCAGTAAATGTTCCCGTGTGGTCGTCGGGATGCTGAGCTGTAAATGTGGTTGCTACTAAAAAACAAACACCGCTGACAGGTGCGGCCTCAGCGTCCCAGTTTGTTCACCGAGGTGATTCGAGAAGTGCTTGTCCGTGTTAAGTGATCTAACGGGCTGGTTAAGTGATCTAACGTAAGATTTTCCAGAGCTCTCTAAGCCTCCGCTTCTGTTTCATTCGGTACGTGAGGTAAAGGGAGGTTTTGTCCCCTTCTCACAGGGAAACCTAGTCAATTCTAGGGCAGCACTAATATAATTTCCCTTCAACTCCAAGCCATGATGCCCAGCTCTCTTTGCACTGTTTAAGCATTTTCCCTTAAACCCTTCCTCTTCTGCTCGTACAGTCAGCCAGCCTGCTGCTGTTCTCTGTACCGTGGGTTCTGGCAGTGAGGAGATGGGTGATAGGGGGATGGCTCTTGTGAGAAGGCACTGGTATCATACAGTCCCATGATCTGACAGACACTGTGACTGCATTTCCCCAACCTTTCATCAGGAAACAGGCCCCAAAGGGACACGGAGCCAAGCATGATATGGCTGGTTGTGGGGCAAAGACCTCGTCAGCCAGGATGGGGGCAGGGCAGTCTGGAGGCAGCTCAGAGTCCAGCCTGCAGGGCAGGATTCTGGTGATGAGCAGATCTGAGGACGAGCCAAGAGTCAGTGTGCTGGTCCAAGATCAATAGAGTCCCTAGCGAGTCAGGGCACAGTTGTGGCCAAGCTCAAGCACTTCTACAGTGTTACTCATGTGGGATTGAAACGCTTACGCCTGCAGAACCTGCCTTCAATAAGAGAAACTCTGGTTTTAAGACCATGTCAAAAGCATTTGTGTAGCAGAGTTATACCTCTCAGTATAGCTTTCCTTCTAAAGCTGAAACTAGAAAATAATCTTCATCTGCAGTCACACAGAAAAGCAAAACTGCTAGCATGACACACTGGGAAAGGTTAGGTTATGACAATAGCCAGTTCCATTTCTTTTGGGAATGCATTCAGGTTGTGTCATTACTGTCTATATACTCAAAAGGGAATATGACACAGTGAGAAGAAAGTATTTTAACATATGCGTATAAACACCCACACTTAATATAAAAACTGCCGGAGTGGTTCACCCACACCATCCTCCCAAGTGCACAACAGACCTATGTGTGGCTGTTGCATCAATGAAAAAATCCTGGAAATTGGCAGACCACTAATGAAAAATAACTGCCTTCTTAAAAACATAATTATGCAATTTCAAAACTAGTAATAATATAAACATCATTTATAAAAGAAATGTTCACATGAATAAATACTTCTTTGTTTAAAAATTTCATTAACCCTCAGCTCTGAAGTTTTAAACTTGGATTCCTTTGGATCAATTAATTTTCCTAAAGAGATCCTCTGAAATCTTAGATATTTCATTGCCACATCCAACGCAGTTCTGCTACAGTAAACTAATCAAGCTTTTGAGGGAACTATTCTTTTTAAATTAATGCTTTTGTTTTACAGATATTAAGGCATAAACATATTGAACCACATTATCTGACAATTTACAAGTTTGTTAGTGTCCTTTCTTTTATATCTAAAGCAATTTCCGTCATTTCAGAGGCTGATGGTTCCATCATCCTGATACATTCATGTTTCTATTTAATAACCTCATTCTGTCTGTAAAAGGGATACATTCTCTTTCAATATGAATTCTCCCTCCTACGGGATATGCACTTCATTTACTTGTGTGCTCTCTTGCTGTTAAGTCTTTTATTAAAGCTACAAATAGTTTTTTAACTAAGGGTACCTTTCCTCAATTACAGTCCTGTTGAATTGTGTAGTACCTCAAGTTTCACATTTCCAGAAGAAATTTTACCTTTAACAAGTGTTTGATTCTGGTCAAAGTAGGGTTTTCGTAGTTCTAATCACAGAAAAATTACAGGTTCTTACTACAAAATTCAGAAGTAATTTTCTATACAGCTGATACAAATTCGTATTCTGCTCTTTGAAATTTTGTCATGTTGAAATTCTAGATGAGAAGAGGCAGTTCCACTGTTAGATACATTTTCCATTTCTTTGTAGTATTTCTAAGTGCCTATTTTGGGTAATATCTAAGCACTGTCCAAAGAGTTTGACTAAGTCTAGGCAAGTATGTAGCCTAGCCTGTAGAAAATATGACCCCTTTCCCAAGTAAGTAGTCAAGTATTCATGAAAGCCTCTTTTCACTCTACAGGTCTTCCTGGCTGAAGCTCTACTCTCTGCTGTGTCTGCCAGCATACCTTAAATTCCTTCCCTTATTCCCACTAAGGCTTGATGTGCCTTGTAGGGGAAATTTCCAGGCCAATGATCTTGGTGAGAGGCCTTTGTAGGAAGATTCAACCAACTCTTATCAAGCATATAATAAAATCATATAAAAAGCATATAAAAAATCATGTTCAAAACTGAAAAGGAGCATACCCCAAGTAGTTTTTTTGGAAGCAGTGGCCAAGAGAGCCCAAAGAGCAGCAGTGACTGCCTAGATCTCCCTGAGCTCAGAGGAGACTGTGCAGGTTTGGTCCTCTGCTGGAGTGGGCAATTTTGTTGCTCCCCTGAGAATGATTCAGCATCCTGCTTCCTTTAAGCATCTCTCTGTGAAACACTGACCTTCATGCTGGAGCCCAGACAGCTGACAGGACCTTTTGTGGGGCAGAACTCCCAGTCAGCCTAGAAGAATACCCACCTCAGGTTGAAACAGGTTGGTTGGTTTGTTCAGTGCTGTAAAGAACTTAGAGGTTATGAAGAATGTGTGATTTTAACCTGATGCTGAGAAATTTCCCGGGGATATTATTTGGGTCCTTCTCTCTGTTGACAGCATTGGCTTCTCCTTCCTAGGGTGTTTCTGTACTTAGTGTTAGTCAGTTAATATACAGAATGCTGTGAATATGTGCCAGAACCCAGTTTTCCCTGTCCCTGCAATATTCCTCATATTTTTCAACTACAAATTAGGGAGAGGATAATGGGACCTCTTTTTTATACAGCTAATTTATCACTTCATTACTAAATAGGAAATCTTCCTTTCCATCCTGTTGTATGTAGATATTAAGTAATCTTGCTTGACTCACACACCTTTCTTGTGTTTCTTAGCAAGGAAAAAAAATATGTAAGTTCAAGTTATTAGAAGCTGCATCTTAGGCATCGTGTTAGCATTTGAATTCAAATCCTCTAAATACTTGAGTATCTAGCATGTAGCTTTATAAAAATAGTTATCCACATGTATATGCTTGTGTGTTTGTGCCTGCATGTATATGATTTGCATTTAGGGAAACGAGAGTGAATAGTATGGAAAGGTAAGGTCATGAAATTTTGTTGGCAAATGCGTTTAGGAAGGCAAAAAAAATTTCTTTTTAATTTTGTTGTTGTTGTTGTTTTGTATGTTTGTTTTTTGAGGGGAGAGAATAATGAAACTGTTCTTTGTTTCTTCATACCTCAGCATTAGTTAGAAGAATTTCTACTTATTGGTAAAACATGAGTTTCTTTTATTCATGCTCTTTGCCAGATCTTATTGTCTAATTTCAAAATAATTATTCTAAAGTTAGGAAAAGAACTTAATAGAAAAAAATTCTCCCTTTTCCCAGTTTAAAACAAATCAATTCAGCAAAAAAGACCTATGTTATAGCCCCCAAACTTCAAAACTTGGGTTTTTATACATACACCTATGTATCAAGACCAAGTGGCCATTGGAAGTGTTGAGTTCCCAAAATCTGTCTGAAATCCATGCCAGCCTCAAACAAACTTTATTGTCTCAGTAAAATTTGGATTGGGAAATCTAGATCCCAATTTTGATGGGGGAAAAAAACCGAAACTCATTTTGATTATAGCTCTGTAACCTCATGTATATACAGCCTAGGGGAGACAGCAATCAAAGACGAGGTATGATGAAGGGAAAGAAATACATTTTCTCCTTCATTATCAAGTTTTTCTGTTCACTGTATGATGGTGAAGAAGCATTTTAAGTTATCTTTATCATTACAGCAGTCAGTAGGCAGAAACGGGGCTTAGATCACACTCTTTCTGATCTTTATTCAACAAAGGAAGAACAATCCTCTTCTGTCCATTGACTATTTGATGAAACACCTCCTGCAAAATATATGTCAACAGGCATTTTGAAATGTAATTTGAACAACTCAAATGTCAGCAAATTGATCCAGGATTTGGGCAGAATCTTATCTCAGAATGAAATAGCGTGAAAAAGTTAACAAACATTAGCTGTAGTTTTCCAATCCAAGTTACAAAACAAGATTTTGTAATGCTTAACTGTTACCATCTCTTTCATCGTAGCTTCTGAAGGCATTGTGTTCCACCCAGCTACACTGGTACTGAGGCTAACAACTTCTGCTTGTGTTCAACTAAAGCAACATTTCTCCTTATGGAAAGTATTTTGGTTTTCCTTTCTCTGCTGGAAGAAACTGAGCAGCTGCTGCCAGCTGAAGGGAGCATGCATTGGCGAGTACTGTATTTCCAGAAAGTTCTTCCATAAAGACATGTTGTACTCAGGAAAGCACTGAAAAATGAAGGATCCACCATATTTCTTCATGGTTTGTCCTAGTAATTAAACAGCTGTACTTTTAAATTTGAATCTGTCTGGCTTCTATTTCCAGCTACTCTTTATGCCATTCTCTGTTAGATTAAAGTGCCCTTTGTTTCTTTTTGTCTCCCTGAGGAGATTATGACACATCACAACCATATTTTGTATCAGCTTTCTTTTCAATAGAGTAACATTGGGAGATTTTTAAAGCTTAACTAGCAGTGTTAGCCCTCAATAACTTCTTTTCTCTTGCAGTATTCCTTTTTTTCCTTCTTCCTTTCAAAATTGTGAGTTGTACATTATGAGTGTCAGATTCACCAATGCAGCGTGCAAAGCTAAGATCAGTGTTATCTCTGCTCATTTGTATTCAAAGATCCCATGGAACCAGATGATTTTTTCACTATGATTTCCAGTGTCATTGCTTTCCAGGGAATTGTGTTGCTTTTGCCCTCCGCACTAGATGAGAAAGCCCAACACTACACTGACTTTGTACACAGGCAGTGGATCAGAGCCAGCCAGCAGAAGAGGCCAGGTTGCTCTGCCCTTGTCAGATTTTATCAGCAGCAACTTTATACCTCACCTCAGGATCAATGATCTAAAGGATGGATACCCCTTTCCTAGTGACTTCAACAAACAGGAATCAGCAGGGATTTATTAGAAATTTTTTATGATCTGCTACTAAATCACGTCACTAGTCATAAGGTAAGCAAAAAGAACATTTTTAAGAATAGTACTGTTCAGGTGGAAAGCACCATGGTAAATATGAAATACACTGAAGTGAGATTAGGCCTTTTGTCATTTCAAGCAGAATGCTGATTAACCAATTTATTACACTAAAGTGGTGAAGTATAAATTATTTATGAGGAAAGGAATTTATTTTTCCTCATCTTGAGCTCCAGTCATTACGGATTTGGCTCTGCAGCCACAGCTGTTTCTTTTAGAAACTGAATAGCTGAGAAAAAACAGGCCAAGTAGAACACAACTCTGATTTCAATTGCAAATACTTAGAAATTTAAATAAAGCCAAAGAAATACAGCAGATAGAAGGACTGGATATTTTCATTGCTCCAATGAAAACTCAATCACTAAGTAAGTTAAAGCCAAACTCTCAAGGTGCCACTACAATTAAAGATATTCCATAAGATGAGGACATGGGCAAGGTATTGCAGAGCTGTCACCCCAAAGGACCCTCCAGAGAGAAATGAGAAGCAGCAAATATTTTGCAATGGCACTAATGGACTCTTACTGAATTTGAGCAGATTTCAGATGTACTTATTCTCCAAGTGGTAAAGGTCCATACTGAAACATTACAGCAGTAAACAAGAATGAAGAACAACGAGGAAAAAAGGAGAGAAATAAACCCCCCAAAACCAGCTGGAAAACTTGTGATGGCAAAATCACAATGATCTGTCTAAGAAGTAAGTTTGACATGCCAGCAGAATTTCTTGGTGATGTCACTGGTTTGTAACATTTTTTGACTGGACTATGTCAATATGGAGAAGTACTCATGGGAAAATAATTATCAAACAAATTAGAATCTAACCAATTTCAGTTCATTGTGCACTTCATACCCCTCAGGGCCTAACCAAGGGAGAGGCTAAGTTAACTTTTTTCTATTGGCCTTTCATTGACAGCAGTAGAACTATTCAATTCACTGTCACATAGAATTTGGATTAATGTGCATCCAGAGCTATACCAATTTACTCTAGCTGTTATCCAACCCATTTTTTCATTGTCTATGTACAAACTGGTTTTATTTTTTTGCAGACTTGATTACAGAAAGACTGGGCTAAATTAGCTACTAGAGTGTATATACACTGGGCTGCCAGCTAAAAGAAGTATATGGCCACAGCCAAGGTAATTCACATCAGTTCTGAGTTGTCACTTCTTGGCTGTCTAGTTCTGTGTGCTGTCTGCCTCTGTAAGGAACTGATGTATTTAGTGACATTGAAAATGCTGAAATTTTGAAGAAAAATCAGTTAATGCATCTATCTGTCTGTATCATGCTACAGGTATGGAACCTTTAACAACATAGATCATCTTATTTTTCAGTGTGTGGAAAAACAAACCTCATCAGGACAATGTTCTGACTGACTCCTGAATGTTACTGTTTTCAACACTCAACCAAATGAGTAGAAACTGAGGCTCTGCAGAGAACAGTTTGCAGAACAAGCTAGCCTATGCATCTGAGAATAAACCTGCAGGTAAAAAGAAACCATCTCCCATTGCTGATATCACTCCCAATCTGACTTCATTCTTAGAAGATCCATCAAGATACCTCTGACCAGCACAGTCCAGTGTAATTTGGGTCTGCACATGTTGTCCGACATGTTTTTTGCCTAGCTACTGAATGGAGGCTGCACTGGTGTTATTGACAGAACTCATGTGGGGAACACACAGCGTTGGGCTGCTTGTATCAGAGAGCAGCCAGTGTTATCTGAGACAAGAGCCACTGGTATATCTCTGGAAGGCAGTCACTCTCTCCCCTTCCTTCTGGGTCTCTGAACGCCTTTGCATTTAAAGCCGCTCTGGGCAGAACTTTACAGCTTATTTTTGGAAGCCAGTGAAAGAGCTATTTGTCAAACCTTTAACTTCAGATTGGTCAGCACAATTTTCTGAAAATTTATACAGCCTTCAGTCTTCATTCTGTGCCAAGTATGAGTTGCCTGCAGAGAACTACACTGCACTTATAGCAATTGCACTTGAACTGTCATGTTCTAGGTGGAATCTCAAATGTCTTCTAATTAGACAACAAGCCTTCCACAGTTAACTGTATGAATACCTTAAATCTCAGCCTCTCCCATCACAGTGAAGGAAATCAAGTGGAAACTGAAGCAAGTTGCTGTGTGTCCATGACATGCTGCAGCCATTCATCAAGCAAAGACTTCTAAAATCCTATGCAATATATTACATCAGCAAAGACCTCTAAGAGCAAGACTACAGATGGTATTTTATAGCTTTGACATATATAAAACACACTCAGCTAGCATATATTTTGCTAGATCGTGTGAAGAAACATTCTGTACTCCATCAATTACTAGTATTGGGTAAATCAAGTGTAGAATGAAGAACTCAGAAAAAAATTACATATATGCAATTCAGACAGAACATACTTGTAGCAAATGAAGTTGCAGTCCAAAACTGAATTAACATACTGTGCTGGTTTTGGCTGGGATAGAATTAATTTTCTTCATAGTAGCTATTATGGATTTGTGCTGAAAACAGTGTTAATATAAGGGTGTTTTTGTTATCCCTGAGCAGAGCTTACACAAAGCCAAGGCCTTTTCTCCTTCTCACCCCACGCCACCAGCAAGGGGGCTGGGGGTGCACAAGGAGCTGGGAGAGGACACAGCTGAGACACCTGACCCCAACTGCCCACAGGAACATCCCAGATCATATGATGACAAGCTCAACACATTAAGCTGGGGGAAGAAGGAAGGGGGGGATGTTTGTAGTGATGGCATTTGTCTTCCAAAATAACTTAGGAGCCCCACATTCCTGGAGATGGCTGAACACCTGACTGCCAACGGGAAGTCGTGAATTAATTCCTTGGTTTGCTTTGTTTGTGTGCATGGCTTTTGCCTTACCTGTTTAACTGACTTTATCTCAATCCATGGGTGTTCTCACTTACTCTTCTGATTCTTTGCCCCATCCCACCGAGGGGGGAGTGAGCAAGCAGTTGTGTGGGGCTGAGTTGCCAGCTGGGGTTAATCCATGACACATAATTGAATGCAAAAAAACTTTTTCAAAAACAAGGTGGACCTTTAAGTGGAAGAAAGAACTTTCTTATATCTGACACCCACCATTATTTATCAGCATGGAGACAGTGACATGCAGCAAGTATGCTCAAACTGACATGAAGACAGATTTAAAACAATACAGCCTAGGTTGTCAGGAGGAATATCTTCAGCAGATTGCTGATCCTGGCTCCTGTGATATTACAGTTTTCAGTAGACAAAAGGTATTCATGACCAATTACATCCTGTCCTATTGATGTTGATATTGCCCTGGTTATACAGACTCCTGTCTAGTGCCAAATTTCACCTTTGGCTGTTGCCAGACTCTTCTCTCCCAGCTATTCCCCAGTTTGAGCAGACTGTAGCACACTCAGCCTGGCACGGACATCCTGCCGCTGCTGTTTCGCTCCAGCCCAGTGTAGGTGATGCTCTCGGCTTAGCACCGCTCGCCTCCAGCGCGGGCAGCGCACACTTGGCTTTGTACCACAGCAGTTTTTGTTCTCTCCGAAAGCCGCAGGACTAGGAGGGACTGGAGAGCGGAGGGGGAGCAGCCGCCGCCCTCCCCATGAGTGGGGCGCGGGTGCCCCCGAGCGGCTCTTCGGCTGGGACTCACAGCGACCACGGAACGGGCGCAGCCCACTGCCACAGGAATGACTTTCTAAATGGCAGTTTTCAGAGTATTGTAGTTAGGAGCATGAATATTTATGTTGGGTCAATTAACTTTTCCTAGTAGCCACCGAGACACAACAGTATCCAATTCCTCATTCAGTTTCTGCTTATACTTCTCCTCCACTTCATAGTCAATCAAACACCTCAAAGAATTTAAAATCCATCACATTAAGAGACTTATGCTGGCAAATTACTGAATTATACTGCAATTTCAGAAGGCTCCAAAGATCCAATAAATAAAAATTACCAGTAATATGGGCAAAGCTAGAAAATTGTAGTTGTTGTGGATTAGAATACTGACTCTTTAATTAAAGTAAATGTGAAAAGAAGAGAATTATTGATGCAAGATAAAACTGCCTTTTTTTTTGAAGAATTCAACCTCTTATGAATTTCTGAGTAAATATTTGTAACACAAGTCAGAGCCTTCAAACAACTCCTTCTCTAAAAAAATGTTACCGACAGGCACACCACCACCACTTTCATGTAGTCTTAACTTCTTCATCAGAAAGAATATGCTCAGTAGTATGTCATATTCCATTTCCCACAATTTTTACACCCTTTCACATTCGTGGTCACCATACTTGTTAACTGCGCTTCTTTTTTGAAAATCTGAGCAAGGTTTCACAAATGTATAAAATTACAGATTGTTAAAAACTGGAACAGGTGACACCGTATTACAGTGCACTCATAGAGAGAAGAGCCTTAGAGCCATGAGTCCACAAAATTCTTTATTAAAATAACACCAAGTTTAAGAAATCAATGCAGTGCAAAGAAATTTCAATTTGTCATACAAAAAAAATTAATGGTTTTCCATCCTTAAGTATGTAAACTGCATTCCAATCCTGACGCAACTGATGCAATACAGAAACAGAAACACTGTAACGCAGATGAAGGTCAAAGTTAAAGACTGGCATGCTGAGCAAGGAAGGTTCTTATTCTTTGCAAGAGTTCTTTCTTTACACTGTCTGGTACCAATGCTGAAACACAAATAAGAAGGCAAAAAGTCAAAAAGACAAAACAAAACATGTGCCAATACCGAACTCTCATAACAGTGACATCGATCCTTTTTTTGTTCTCACAGTTCTGTTAATACATTGAGTAACTGAAACTACTTGATTTTCACATAGCACATCTATATTTTTCCCATTAAAAATCGGCTAAAATTGAGGTCTATTGAGAACACTGTTGTTACTGGTAGGTTTTTTTGCCTAGTCATACTCCAGAAAATAGGAAAGTTTGAGGGAAAGGATTATTGAATAGTAAACAGGATATAATCACCACAACAAGTGTGATTATCCCAACTTTTTTCTCCACAAATTTAAAACCAAAAATCTCAGCCATGACCTCAGAGTAAAGGTCTCCAGCAAGTTATTTTGAAAGCCTATTTTTATTTAAAACTGAATGATGTTTCTCCCACTAACATCAAAGTTTATTAGGGAGCCCAAGAGGAACAATATAAAGAAGACTTAAGTGATTCCACTTTTTCCTCTATCTGTATGCTGTGTCCTTTACTCTTCCCATTCCCATTACACTAAAGCTGTTAGTCCAGATTTTCCATCTCAAAGGATCATGAATTTTAAAACATCTGTGCTACATACTCCAACTCTTCTTGGGACCATTAAGTCAATTATAAAAATGAATACAGACATGACTAAATAATGTAAGCTGCAAAGTAGTCTACACACACAGCTCATTACAGATTTTGAATGACTGTTACACAATACATATTCACATGTTTTATTTGTTGTTAAAATTAGGCTACTAACATTTTTCCTTGAATCCAACACAGGCAAGTTCATAATGTTGCTTTCAAAACATTAATGAAATAGAGGCAGGTATGTTTATCGATGTACTACCACACCCATGTATGCATTTTCTTACCTCTGCCTTTGGGAGTGATTTCTGCCACCAAATCATCAACAGTAACATGCTCTAATCCTTTCTCTTTAATGACATCTGGGGAAGACCAAGACCAATATTTTAAGTCTTTTAATCCATTCATTAGAAGACAAAACCTGTGCCAGCGATTAGAATACAAAACCTGCATGCATATGTCATCAGAGAATATGAAGTAGCAAATTACCTAAATATAGGTTATTAACTCAGTACCTACTGCATTTTACAGTGGATTAGTTTCTCACTCATGCCACAGGTTTAAGGATGGGAACTTGTCTCTTCTGATGCATCTTGTTCAGCTCATATTTTAAAAGCAAACATTACAAAGTTTTATCTCATCTGAGCATTACCAGATGTGGCTATTATTGGAGTATTGTAGCACAAGTTGGCTGCTTATCTCTTAGAACACATTATTTACATAATAGCGAGAAAGATGCAACTGGAAAAAGACTTTGGAACATACAAAAAGGGAGAGCATGGACAGTAAATCCTTACTATTCTTCCTGTCTTGTTTAAACAACATGTCTCTATATTTCAGCAAAGTCAAAAAGTATCTCTGGAAGAAAGGAATACAACTATAGCAAAATAAATGTGATGATTAAGATATAGTGTATGATTAATACATATCTGTATTTAAACAATTGTCTACTTATAGTGCCTTGCACTCTAGTGAAGAATGCAGAAGTCAAAGCTGAGAAGTAACCTCAATTCAGTAGCATGAACCTAAAATATTATTTAAACATACATGTTTTTAACTGTATGTCACTACATAGGATTGTTTGTCCCCAAGACAGTAAATGTTTTCTGAACTGCTATCACATGAACTATTTGTAAACTGCTTTTTTTGGCTGAACTCCCTGAAATTAATCCTGGATTGCTCAATTATTGGTCCTAATCCATAATGGCAAGAAGCTCTGGAACAAGCCAAAAAAAAAAAAAAAACCAAAACAAAACAACCTTCCCCAATAACAGAATGTTTAAGGTTGGAAGGGACCACAGTGGGTCATCTGGTCCAGCCTCCCTGCTCAAGCAGGGCCATCCTCGAGCAGCACAGGATTGTGTTCAGACGGTTCTTGAGTGTCTCCAGTAAGGGAGACTCCACAACCTCTCTGGGCAATCTGTTCCAGTGCATGGTCACCTGCACAGGAAAGAAGTTCTTCCTCGTGTTCAGGTGGAACTTCCTGTGGCTCAGTTTCTGCCCATTGCCTCTTGTCCTATTGCTTGGCATCACCAAGAAAAACCTGGCTCTTGAGACCGTCCCTTCAGATACTTATAAATATTGATGAGGTCCCCTCTGAGTTATCTCTTCTCGAGGCTGAACAGGCCCAGCTCACTCAGCCTTTCCTCATGAGAGAGATGCTCCAATCCCTTAATCATCTTTGTCACCCTCTGCTGGACCCACTCCAGGAGCTCCATGTCTCTCTGTCCTTTCTTTTGGAGGTTATTAGGCTCTTAAAGCAGACAAATTAACTTATATTTTTCCAGTCTCAGCAGCTGCAGTTACAGTTCAAAGTACTAATGTAAGCCAAATAATTTTACATTTCTTTACTATAGCAGAGTGTAAAGCATATAGTTGAGAAGGCAAATAAACATCCCTTTCATTATCTGTACTATTGAAATGGATAATCTCTGGCAGTGGCATCAGCCAGACGACTGCAAGCGTGAATAATTTCAGCCTTCTCTGCTGAACCTATGAAAACAATTTAACACACCCAGCCCCACAGAAAAAAACAAACAACTTTGTAATGGAATATTGAGTTTCCAGGCACAATAGACCAAATCAGAATTAAAGTGAAATCTCAAGGGATTTGTTATTCGCTTTAAGGAAATTTCATCCCATGGTAATACTCCTGGATGCTTAAATAGTATTTATAACAGTTTCATATGATTTACAAATCAGTGAATTGTAGTAATGCTAAACACTTAACTCAAAACTAAAGATTTTAGTATGTAGAAGTTCATCTGCTTGTTTTGCTCCTCTAAGCAGATCACCTTATTTTCAAGAATTGTATTCAGAAAGAGTCCAAATGCACTTATTTGTATCCCATGTGTGGAAAAAGTTCTGTAAGCTGCAAGTTCTGTAAGTTCAGAGTTTCTAAGCTGCAAACCACTCTATTTGCTCAATTCTCCTTTATCTGTTTTTTTATTCTCCTGTAGTAATGAAGTCATCTCTCTCAAAACAAAAAGCTGTATCATCATTAATATTTAGGGAATCAATTCCTACCCTTGTCTCAGAAGCTTAATAAGGTTCAGATCAGAGTTCTTCCAAGATTTTTTTTGCTAAGATAGTGAAACGCTTTCTTGCGTGGAAAACTAACTGCCAGGGATACTTTCCTCTTTCCCAGGTCTCCTTTAAATTGACTGTTAGGCAGTGCAGCCTTCATCTCAGTTGACTACAAAGGATACTAATTACTTGACCACAGTTACCTTTGCAATGTGCCTTCAACTGATCCTTCCAGCCGCATTCAATTAATTTGGCTCTCAGCAACTCTTTAAGGCTGTTAAGACAATATACAAACTTGTTAGGAACAGCAAACACTCCTGACAGCTTAAATATGCCTCAGCGTGAAAGTTAAGCCTACGGTTACTAACCAAGAACTCCCAGACCAGCAGCAGAAATGGCTGAACAGCACATGAATCCTAAACCAAATGAGTACCAATTTCAGTTTACCACATTGGACTATGAGGACTTGGTGGCTCAGGAGCTAATTCACAGAATTTCTTCAGGCAGCGTTGATGCTGCAGCCACAGCAAAGGAGTAGAAGCCCTTGCATCACTTGAACTGCCTGAGTCTACTCTAGTGGCAGATGTATGCTAACTTTCAAAGTCAGGAGTATTTCACTTGAAACCAAGTCTTCAAAATAAGTAAAACCTTCTCCCCGCCTTCTGAAAAGAGAATTCTGCATGACTGTCTCCAACTGCAGGCTTCTCTCCCCAGTAACACACTACCTCCATATACCAAAAAAAATATTGAAAGCAAGCTAAAAAAGTGTAAATTAGTATTAAAAATCAGAAGGGAAAATGAAAATAAACTATGATAAAATAAGCTTTAATATCTTACCCTTTATTCCATCAGTTAACAATCCTGCTTATCTTGTATCATCCTAAATAACTCTTGGCAAAACTCCAGTTTTATAAATGAAAGGACTGCAGCAAATGCTGAACTGTGCAGGTCTAATCCCTTTTATTCAGTGAATTGTGTAGAGGGCAGATGAAGTGATGACAAAAAGCAGAGTAACAATACAGGTGAAATGGACTGCTTCTGGATATTTCTTAATTAAAGAAATTCCAAGTGCTCTGCCTCTGATCACAGTACAGCTCTGACAAAGCCAGTTTATAATACAGCTTTTGACATTCTGTTAAAACTCTTCTTACTCTTAAATTAGGATAAAATAGGTTCCAATATAATTTCAAGAAATTACTTGCTCTGCTGAAGCTCTGTGCAATCTACAAGGGGATGGTCACAAACAGGAAATAAGTGGAGCACAGATACCACGTCAGGCTGCAAAAGGTTACACCAGGTACAGGGCTACACCATGACCCAGGAAAAAACTCCTCATAGAAGCCTTTGAAAATGAAGCAAACAGAGCTTTTGGTGCATGGGGTTACAAGCACAGTGAAACAATGAGGGAAATGTCATAAGCATGCTAATGATATGTAAATGCAATGCAAATAAAACAGAGGGAAGAGAAAACAAAAGGCCAAGAACTGGCTGCCACATTACATTGCCCAATTTGCTTGTTTGTCTTTATCGAGATCTCTACAATGACTTGCACGAGTGCTGTTTTATGTGTTCTACCATGTATTTCTTTCTGTAACATTAGAAGAGATAGAAACATAAGAAAAACTTAAAAGCAAAAAGGAAAGTTTTGTCTCATTCTCTTAATCAGGAAATAACAGTGGTAATTTTTATATGAATCAAGGGTATTTCAACATAAAATATCAGAATAAGTGTTCATAAGCCAAGTACCCCATCCTTTACTTCCCCAGCATCTCTTTTCAAGTGTAAAACTAAAATGAAACTGTTCAAAAAGCATTTTTTAAATGGCTTTATATAATGCCTAAAACTTTCACGTGCAGGCATTTGAAGAATTTAGAGTTAAGTTTACTTAATCTCTACTTCTAAGTGTAGCTCATGTTTGGTGTATTTAAAGCCTCTCACCGGCACGGAGTAGGACGCCAACTTACCGTTCCCGCTCTCCGGTTTCTATCAGCTTTTGGTTAATGGTTGCTCTCATCTGGGCATCTTTATTCATTTTGGAAATCTGGTTTTTCCACAAACCTGCACAGAGAGCAGAGGAGAGTTTCGACGAGCGCTGGTGTCACTCCCACAACACAAAGTCACCGAGGCAGAATGACACGCCGCGCTGTCCGCACTGACACACCCCCGCGGGCAATGACCGGAGCGCCGGCGTGTGGCCAGCTCATAGCGTGGAGCCCCCCCCGCCTGCCCCAGCCCACCGGGCCGCCCGCGCGGGCGCGGCCCCCCCTCGCCGGGCCTCCCAGGAGTCCGGCCCGCCCTCCCGGTGCCTCTCCCGACTGGCGGCGCCCCCGCAGAGCGCGGCGCCCCGGATCGGAGCGGGGCAGGGCCCGGTGCCGGAGCGCTCCCCCCTCACCCGCCGCAGCGCCGCCGCTCCGGGAGCGCAGGAGGCGGAGCGGCCGGGCCGCACGCACAACAGGCCACTCGCCCCTGCCGCGCGGGCGCCGCCGGGAAATGTAGTTCGCTCTCGGCGACTACAGCTCCCGGCGCGCCACGGGCTGACGGCCGCCGCCGTGCCCGAACTACGACTCCCAGTGTGCCCCGCGGCTCCCGCGCACCCCCTTTCCCGTGGAGCTCGGCGGCGTCTCCCGCGCGTTACCCGCGGGCCGCGGAGTTGGCGGCGCTTCCCGAAGTTTTTCCAGAGCCGCGGGATGGCGGGCGCCGCTCACTGCTCTCTGCAGGCAAAGCGCCTGCTCCTGGACCCCAAGTTCGAGGGGTACAAGCTGTCGCTGGAGCCGCTGGCCTGCTACCAGCTGGGGCTGGACGCGGGTGAGCAGCGGGTGCGGGGCGGGCGCGGCGCGGGGCTGATCCCGCCTGGGGCTGATCCTGCCGGGCATCCCTTGGGCAGCACAGGAGGCCGGATCCGCCCGCCTTTCCCTTCGTCCCCCCGGCGGTGCGGCGCGGCCCGGCAGCGGCCCTGGGTGCAGGTGCCCTGAGCTGGCACAGCCCGTCCCGCTGGAGCCCCGTGGGGGCTCAAGGGACCGATCGGCTTCTCTCGGTATAAGTGGCTGCGGTTTGGCAGTGGTGTCCGTTCTCCTCAGCTTCGGGTGGGTTCATGGTGGGCCGAGGTCTCTGTCAGATCTTTGCCTCGCAGCTCCCTGCCTCTGGAAGTCTGGGCTAGTTTCTAAATGGGTGAGGAAAGCCTTGTGCTAAATCTGTTCTTGGGTTGTGCAGACGAGCTGAGGCTGATGACCACCTGAGGTAGTTCAGGGTGGAGTGTGAACGGAGAATGTGGAATTTAGATAAATGCACGTGAAATTAATATCTTATACGAACTTCAGCAAATTAGCTGTTTTTCTTTCTTGCTCTGCCCACAGTTCAGAGGTGGATCCTCAGGCTATACATTCTATGCCCTGCTTTTTCTGCCAAGCATCATCAGTATTTTAGATGCTGCTCCATTAATAGGCTAATTCACTGAGGAGTACATTAGTGCTAAGTCCTGTTGAATATGTGCCTGCAACATGCCCCTTGAAATCTCTCAACACTGTGCGTTTAGTGATTCGTGAAATTTAAGTCTTTTGTAAGGTGGATGAATTAGTTTTTTGGTTTTTTTAATAATGCTGAGACTGTAATATACTAATTGCTGTCTCTATATATTTACTGGACAATATACTTGTCTACAGAGTTACCCATTATATGTTACTTTAGCTGTGTTGAGTACATTGTATCAGTAGTGGACCGGAGAGGTATGTTTGCCACTCTGAATTGTCTGCAGTAAGATGGACGTTGTAGGTAAATTGTGTATTGAAGGACAAGGGAACAAACCGAGGTGGTACTGTCTATGGTGGGAGTGGAAAATCTAACGAGTAACTTTTTTATTAGATATTTTGACAATTTTACTGTAAGACTGATTTAGGTGTCACCTTTCAAAAGAGTCCAATGTAGTTGTGTGGAGGCGTGCTACAGTTGTGTCAAAGGTGGCAATGGCATAGCGTAGGTGCAGTCTTTTAGTTTGTCCCTTATTTGATGTTCTGCCTATGATCAAACAAGCTTTGTGGTTCTTGGCTAGTCAGTTGTGCACCTGTTCTAAAGTGTGAGGATTTACAGGTTTTCATTATAATACACAAATGATGGAGTTGCTAATGGACAGGTGGATCTACTCAGTTCTTGTTCATTCAGACATTTTAAATAATAGTTGCAGTAACTGGTGTGATAGAGAATTGGTATGTGTGACTGTATTTTCTTTCCCCATTTCTCACAGCACAAAAACCCTGACTCATTTCAGTCTAACTTACTTAATCTGTCCTACAGACTCATTAACATTAACTGACTTATTCTGTTCTCTGTGTGTGTATGTATATATAAGTACAGATATAGGTCCTCTGGACAGTGGAAAGGTTTTGCTGTTGTTGTGTTTGGAAGTTAGTAGCAGGAAGTATATCAGACCTTATAGCTGTCTTCTAGATGTTTTGTTTTTGGCCTGCTCTTAGGCCTTCAAGCTGCCTCTTCCTCCTTGATGTTTTTTTTCTGCTTCTTTCAAGGCAGTTTCTTCACAGTGCAGAGGTGTTCTGTACCTGAACTTTTTATTTCCCGGTGTCAGTGGTCTACAGATGTGTTAAATTGAGGGTTTCCTTCCAAAACTTGGGTTTTATGTTGTACAGGAGAAATGGGCTGAGTTGTAGAGACCATGAATGATGTGGAGGCTGTGACTTTTTCAAATTATGGCATGTGAGAAGAAACTAATACTGTGTGAAAAGGCCAAGAATTTCTACTTTCCAGCACATTTGTGAGCAGATTCAAAGCCTCTGGAACATGATGAAGAACTTGGTAGTTTGTGGGTTATTAAATTAATAATTGTCACTGTGTGAAAAGTTTGATTTGATTTCCTCAAAGTGAGACTGAATACAAAAGCTAAAAGAAATGTCAAATATTTAGTAACTCTATCAGCATGATTATTTCTGATTTTACTCACAACTGTTTGAACAAATATGGTAGTAGAATCTGGAAGATTAATGTTAAAAGGCTGGAAGATTAATCTAAAAAGGCTGTTGAGTTTTTTGTTTGTTTTCCAGGAAAATACTTTTTGAGTGCTTGTCTCAAATGACCTGAGATTTGAAGTTCTGCCTGTGTGGCATCCCAAATTTTATGGCAGTAAGAGGAATATGTGAGGTTTAGAGTAATTGAAATACATGACAATAAATAGAAATAGGTGCTCCTTCTTAAGTAAAACTGAGTTTTATCTCAGCTGTAGTTGAAGTATTTATGCAATGTTATTACAAACTTACATATTAAGTTTTAAAGTATCAATCTTTTTTGTCAATATTTGTATCTGTGTTTTTATGTTTATCTATTTTTATTAATTTCACTGCTAGGTATAAAATAAAATAAAAAAAATTGCCATATGGAATTGATGCAGGGTTCTACCACTGGAGCAGGTAGATAGCAGAATGTGGTACTGTGTGACAACTTGTGGTGATTGTCATGTTCATGTGGACAACAGTGAGCTTCGTTTTCTGACCATTGTGTTCAGCTTAGTATTCAGTTCTAATTTGCCTTCAGCTGTCAAACTGTGGTTGCCAGGAATTTGCAGTTGTCAGATGTGCAACTGACACCAAAATAAATTTTTTTAAATTATTTATTTATTTGATCTGTGGTACAAGGGAATTTTCTAGTGAATTTCTTAAAATGTATGGTCACAGAGAAGAAGAATGGGGGAATTCTGATACCCTTCCTTCCCCTTTAAATACTATGATTTGCATGTTCTTTTATTTCTTCCTTACTCCTACCCATTCTGCCCTAGTTAATTCTAAACTTTCACAGTCATTTCTTGTCTCATCTCTCATCCTGGTAACTTATTTCAGCTAGTAATGAGTCTCACACTATTGTGCCTTTAATTCCTAACTCCTCATCCTAAATTTTGTCTCTCTTTCTCCTTACTTTTTTTTTTAGTTTATTTCCATAACTTATTTTCAAACATTGTATTTGCATTGAGCTTTGTAATGAAGTTTTATGGAGCAAAAGGCACTGATATGTTTCAAACACTTGGATATTTTCATTTTCCATTTTCATTTGAAAAATTAAATGTAGAAAAAAGTCTTAATGTATGGGAAATAGTATGGAATTGTGAGCTCTTGCAGACATTTACAGCTGTAGTTCATAAAGGTTTGTGTCTCAGGCATGTGTGTATCTGTTTTGTTGAACTTTTATTTCTTGAGGGGAAAAAAAATAATGTAGAGGCAGGTTCTGCCTTGGAACTGCTGTTAAAGAAAATGATTCTTGCAGCTGGGACAAGTCAGTGCCAGCTATAGTCAATCGAGGCATTGCTATAGTGATACTTTAACAAATGCCTTGCTAGTTTTTGGATCTTGTTGAATTCACACCTGTGTAAATAACTTCATCAGGCAAAACCAGTTCGTTACATGGTGTCCGTCAGCCCGTGCTTGTTTTCAGCAAGCTACCTGTTCATTAGTCAGGTTTGTTTTTGTTTTTTTCTATTAACATACTTATTGCAGTAGATTAAAGGAGCCTTGTACTTTTACTCAACAACAGCAATGAGATGACACTGCCATTAACAATAAAAAAAATATTTTTTTAAATTAAAAAAGAAAGCATTAATGCAGGGTTAGAAGGATCTTTGAATGCTGATACTAGAAAATAAACTATCTCTTCCACCAGTAGATCAGCATGTATGAAATACAAAATTGCTTCCACTGGGTGGCATTGCAAAACAAGGCATGACATGCAAGCATATATTTGATGCCACAAAATATGCTGATATAATTACTTTGCATCTTTGGCTGTATTGTAAAGTTGCTTTGGTGTATTCAGTAAAACATCTAAAAATGGAGGGCCTGTGGTGGGGGATGTGTCTGATGGCAAATGTAAGACTTCTCTATTCATTTAAAGTATAAGTTTGTTGATAGCGTTCTTCATTCAGAGATTTTTTTTTTTTTGCAGTGCAGAGCAATAATGATTATAATATCCAGTTAGGGACTTTATTATAGCAGTTAGGTTAGGGATATGTTACTACTTCTGTTGATTGTTTTGAATTGCTTTGTATTTAGTGCTTTTGCTTTTAAGTAAAGGCATTGTGAGTGAAAATCTTTGCTTAATTATCTTTGAACTATTTTGAGTCAAATGACTTTTTAAAGCATGGAACTGGAGATAACCATGCTACTTTTCTCAAATTGTGTTTTTCTTTGTACTGGTCCAAAATATCCCACCAAACTAGGGTTGTTGGGAAATAATATTAAAAGCTGAGGTTTAATTTGTATATTTTCTATATTTTCTTTTTTTTCTAGGGTTTTAGCAGTGCAGTTATTAGTTATTAGTGTATTTATCAGAAATTTGAAAGAGGCCATGTATCATTCTGTTGAATACCTGCCTTTGACTGCTGTTTCTTAATTGAACCCAAACAGCTGAAGCTACTGAATTAATTAGTCTGACTCTTAAAAAGCAAATAAACAACAAAAAACTCCCACCCCAAAAACCCAAACAAAAACCCTAAACCAAAACAAACAACCGTCCCCCCAAATGAAGCAACAAACCAGTAAAAAATCCTGACTGAAACCCAAATAAAAACCTGCAAAACTGTGTAACTGTGAGACTGAATAAGGTGATGATCTGATTGAAGTATTTCTTATTTTCCATTTATATTAACTTATCTTTCTCTGAATTTACTTCAGTAAAAGTCTTCATTTCTTCTTTCTTTTGTCCTTTACTTTTTTTCACTCAGCTCTGTTGGTTTTCTCTTCTTTTTTCCAAGGACCATCAAGAAACCTTGAAGGCTGTAAAAAGGAAGGAATGAACTTCATCCTAGTGTAGAATCTCCTATATAAGCTATCTGAGCACATGGTATGTGATAGCAGATGGCAGCTGTGCACAGATTTCACTTGATCACAATATGGGTTTCAGTTAATGGAGGATGGAATAGGTTCTTTAATTGCTTCATCTTGACATATATGGAACATATATGTGTGATACATTCTGAAAGCAGTTGATAACCTCATTTGAAATGTTTCATGACAGGACAGTATACCTTTGATTGATTTCCTGGTTTAAAATCGCCTACAAATTGTATAGTCTCTGACTTCTGTTTATGTGGAATTAATTACATATTGCAATAATACAAGGGATTTGGATCTCCTGTTCCTGACCCCCCCTTATTATTCAGGGCTTATTAGGACTACAGGCTGGAAAACTCAAGGACAGAGAATCTATTCATGTTCTTCCAGCTTTTATAAAGTTCATAACACTACAATCAGCTAATCAATAGTATATTGTTCCCATAATTTTTGTGAAAAGTTATACATTCATCTAATTTGGACTGGTTTTACTATTTGTATGTGTTTTAGTTGCAGTTCTGACAGGAGCAACATATCTAGGGAAGTGGGGAGGGAGAAGTGGTGAAAGGAAGCCTTACAATTTTAGGATTTTTATGCTAAAAATCTTTGTGTTTATGCATGTGTATTCTAATTTCAGAAGATCAGTTAATGTAGCTATGCACAAAGTAGATGACATGTGCTTGATTTCACTGAAAATAATTATCCTGCATTATATTTCTTTTGGTCTTTAATTGTTTACAGAATGTTCATGTCTTGTCATCTCTTGTCCTGTTGGGAAAAATATCTTATGATAAACCTTGATTATATAAACAGCTTTAAAATGCACTTTCACAATATATTCTTTTAAGTTTTTTTACAGTGTAATTTACTGTAAAATATTCTAATTAGTTAAAATAGAAATGGGAATGGGTAGCAGTCTTTGCCATTATGACAAAGGTGTATTTTCTTCTCACTCCTTTGTTAATATCCTAGCTTGTTTTGAAGGGCCATAGCTTGTGGAACAGTAATTTATTAATTGCAAAAGTACGGAAATCCCTCCTGTGTGGTGAATATGAATAATGATTTGAGCTGAGTGGAATTAATACTGCTGGTTTGCAAATATCAACAGTGATTAGGAGACTAATTGCTAATTATACTGTCATTTTGAAAGCATTTTGTGTAGTATGACTGGATTTTTTATTAATCAGGCAGTATAATCTTGCATAGTTTCCTGAAACCACTTTTATGTTAATAGCCAGTGTCTCTAATGGGGTCAATTCTGAGCCATCTAGTGACTGTCTGATTGTTGGGTTTGTGATAGCTGTGCAGTGGCACTGCCAAATGAACAGCTCTTTGCAGTAATTGGTGTTCTGACAGAGCGGAGTAAACTACTTCTGCTTCGGTAGGTTTTAAGTGGGTGCTATAGAAGAGTTTAGGAAATCTAAGATGAGTGCTGCTGCACAGAGTTGTGAGTGGTCCCTCTTATGGGATGAGATGGAAGTGAAATGCTGGAAATATTTCCTTGCTCTGTTTTTCAGCAGAAAAGAGAAGAAAACAGAAGTTGGATGATTAGGAACTAAAATAACTGTGAACTGTTGCTATGAAAGGAATTAGCCTTGATGTGCTTTCCCCATTCTCTGGGCTTGAGTGCTAATCATCATGGACTGAGAGAGTTTACTTATAGCTTTCTAAAGAATTTTGCTTGTTGTGTGAAGTTCAAGATAAGTTTTCTGCAGGAAAGCTAAGGATCCTGGGATAACTAGTGGAGAGTGAAATGGAGTTCTGGTCTATCTATTATTTGCAGAAGGATGGACTAGACCTCTGCTAATGTATTTTAAGATGTTGGGACTACAGCTGCTTGATCTCTGCATAGATAGGGAATAGGAAAAAAAGAGCTGCAGATAATTTAAATAAAAACCTGATTAGTCTTTGAAAGATAACCTAGTTTTGACTACTGTTAGTTGAGTAGAGGTTTTCTGTTTGGAAAAATCTTGCTCAGGTGGATGACTGTAGGTGGCATACTTCCTGCCTTAAGAAGGTACTGTTCTAGTGAACAGCCATTCTTTGCAGCCTCTTTCAATTAGAAAAACTTAACCTGAAATTTTGGCATTATGTTGAACATTCCTGAAGATTTCAGCCTCAGTGGGAGTACTAGGGACATAGGAGGTTTTTGGCTTTGATTTTTTTTTTGGTTGTTATTTTTTTAATTACCATGAATTAATACTGATTTGTACTCTTTTAATCTTTTGCCTTGCAAATGTTCATAACTTCGTTCAGAAATTAAGACTATGAAAGCCATGTAGTTATATGTAGTTATATTTCTTTTGCTTGCTATTTTCTGGAGTTACTGTAGAGCAGAATTTTTTTTTTCCCTTACTGTACAAACCATGTACAAACTTAGAAGTTGGTTTTACATTGTTGTTGCATATGTGTTTCATCTTGTGAGGGTTATTGATAAACTGTAATTCAACACATGCTGGTAAGAGACAGGATAGGTGTATTGGGTTTGCATGGCAAGGTTTTGGTAGCAGGGGGGCTACAAGGGGTGGCTTCTGTGAGAAGCTGCTGGAAGCTCCCCCATGTCCAGCACAGCCAATGCCAGCTCCAGGATGGACCCACTGCTGGCCAAGGATGAGCCCATCAGCCATGGTGGTAGCACCTCTGGCATAATGTATTTGAGAAGGGTAAAAATTGCTGTACAAGAACAACCACAGCCAGAGAGAGAAACGAGACTGTGAGAGAAACAATTCTGCACATCCCAAGGTCAGTGAAGAAGGAATGGGGAGGAGGCAGTCCAGGTGCCAGAGCAGAGATCTCTCTGCAGCCTGTGGTGCAGACCATGGTGAGGCTGCCCCTGCAGCCCATGGGGGTCCATAGTGGAACAGAGATGCATCTGCAGCCTGTGGAGAACCCCATGCTGGAGCAGGTGGATGCACCCAAAGGAGGCTGTGATGCCACAGAAAGTCCATGCTGGAGCAGGCTCCTGGCGGGACCTGTGAACTAAGGGGGAGAGGAGCCCATGCTGGGACAGGTTTGCTGGCAGGACCTGTGACCCCATGGGGCACCCACGCTGGTGCAGTCTGTTCCTGAGGGTCCTGTGGAAGGGACCCACTCTGGAGCAGTTTGTGAAGAACTACAGCCTGTGGGAAGGACTCACATTAGAGAAGCTTGTGAAGGACTGTCTCCTGTGGAAGGGACTCTATGCTGGAGCAGGGGAAGAAAATGGGGAGGAAGGAGAAGCAGAGAGGTGTGATGAACTGACCACAACCTCCATTCCCTGTCGCCCTGTGCCACTGGAGGAGAGGAGGGAGAGACCAATGGGAGTGAAATTGAGCCAGGGAAGAAGAGGGGGGGGAATGTATTTTAAGATTTGGTTTTATTTCTCATTATCCTGCTCTGATTGGCAGTAAATTAAACTAATTTCCTCAGGTTGAGTATGTTTTGCCTGTGACAGTAATAGGTGAGTGATCCCTCCCTGTGTTCATCTTCATCCATGAGCCTTATGTTATATTTTCCTTTCCCCTGTCCAGCTGAGGAGGGAAATGACAGAATGGCTTCAGAGGGCATCTGGCCTCCAGCCAGGGTGAAGCCACCACAACAGACCACTGTAAATGGAAGGAGTTGTTACACGATCAAAGCCAATGACTTGCAGTGGCCTTCAGGGTGGATGACTTTCTTTCCAACTTTATGGTGAAATTTTAAACTATGTATATGTAATGTATTTTTTTTAAAATAAAGCAGACCTATGGAATGAAAATGGAATCATTATTTTTAAATTATTAGTTTGAATTTTAAATAATTAATTTGTAAATAAGTAATTGTTAAAATAGTCTTTTTCTTTTCCCTCCAGCTGTAGCAGAAGTGCAACTTCATGATGATCAATATACCCTTGACCACATGCGTGCTTTTGGCATGTATAATTATCTTCACCTTGATTCCTGGTACCAGGATAATGTCTACTATGTTGATCAGTTTGGAAGGATTATGAATCTGTCAGTGACTCTGGTAAGAATAAACTTTTTTTTTAAATCACTGAATTTGAAAAGTTCCTTTGCTTTTCATAGAATATAGAAGCAGTTGGGGCCTTTGGCAGACTCTTACTGAGGCAAAATAATCTTCTAGGACTTCTTCCAAATCTTTTGAACTCATCTGGATTCCTAGTAGGAACACCTAAAAGAAAGGAACTTGCCAGGGAAAGCCTTCTGCTTATCACAATCTCATTTTTTGTGTTTTATCCTTGAGGTTGGTTAACCTTGGCTTGCTGCTGGATATCCACCCAGAGAATCTCTCACTCCCCATGTTCAACAAGATGGGGAGAAAATAAGACACAGAGGTTTGTGAATATCTGCCTCACTTTTGTTTTCTGTGGGCTGCAGGGGGACAGCTGCAGGCAAACCTCTGCTCCCCACCACCGTCTTGGCTGACAGGCTCAACTGTGCCCGATGGTGACTCCCGTGGAGCCAGTTGGAAGTGGCTGTATGTGGCATGGGACAGCCCTGGCCCCTCCCCACTGAGGCCACCTCTGCAGGCCCCCCCTGCCTTCACAACACAGACACCCACTACATTCCTTTATTAGGAGGGCACTGTGTGTGTAAAATTATTTCTTAGCAGATAAAGGATTTTGCAACAGGCAGTGAATTGACATAAGAAATATTCTTCCTCAGAACCAATTTCAAGATAATGGCACTTGATTAATGTCTTGTCACAAGTTTCAGTTCCACCTGAACTGGGAAATAAAACTGATTAAACTGTGAAATAAATAGGCACTATCTTGTGTCCTAATACACAGTAGAGTGCTGTTTTGCAAAGGAAACATGTTTGCATATGTATGAAAAGGAATATGTGTTCAGAAACATCAACAAGGTGTCCCATTACAAATGTGCCTGGTCATATATTAGTCAAATGTATATTACAAGTAAGATTGGTTTTGGCCAAGTATAGCTTACAATTAAAATTAATTTCAGTCTTCGTTAAAACAGAAGATTGAACAGGCTAACAAGTTCATCCTAAATCCAGAGTGAAAGAACACATAGGCTAACACATTATTTCCAGTTTTATTTCTTATTTTTGTTGCAACTTTGATTCTAATATAACAGTGTGTGTGTTATCCATAAAGCATGAATTATCCTTGCAACTTAGGTGTTTAGAAGGATGTCATCTGTGAAGGCAAAAAGTGTTTGTAATACCTTGCCGCTTGCTCAAAATCACACATAATTGAAAAAAGAAAAGTGATCAACATGAGCAGTTTTTCAGTGTTGGTTGATGAGTATTCGGGTGGGGTTTTTTTATACCAACTTGAGGAAGTTGTTACCCTAATTTGGCTGGAAATGCTGTATAATAGCTTTAACATTCTGCTGTTACAGCTGTTGGACTTCTTTCATTCAATAAGAAGCATTGATTGATACTTTGCTTTAAAGACCCAATGGGTAGAGTAGTGACAGGATTACTGAGCTGGGTTTTTTTGGTTGGGCATTTTTTTGCATCTGACTCAACGTTGTTTGCTTGTTGTTTGTAGTACTTGAATATAGCTGGAAAATACTCAAAGTTTTCTCCTCTAGCAGTTAAATACTTGGATTTGGTTTCTTGACCTTAAGCTCTTCTTGCAAAGACAACTTTGTTTCTTTTTTTTTTCCAAATAATCAAATGAAGAAATTGTGCCAGGAACTCTTTTCGTGCTTAATTAAAACCCTAAGTGATGTCTATATTTTTCGAATCATCTTTTTGTCATCTTTTTGAATTCCAAGAAGAATTAGCTGTGGAATACTGTTTCCATAACTTTCAGTTAGCTTCAATTCAGAACAACTGTTAGTGGCACCAGACACAATGTGGGAATTCTGTTTAAAATAAGTCAGAATAAGGAAGCAGATAAAGTAAAGAATAACAAAATCTTTTAGTGTTCTGTTTCAGGGTTTTAAATACTTGTCTCTTTGTTATTCAGAGTGCAGGGTATGGACATTTTTTCACAGTTAGAGAGATGTGTCAAATGCCTAGGTATTTTGATTTTTCATATAAAGTTTTGTATTTGTTATTGCTATTTTGTGGGAATTGCCATATGACATGTTTTTTATTTTTCCTTTCTTTTTTGGTATATTTTGTCTTTTCTCATTCCCTGTCTTTTCCTTGGAAAATTCATTTTCATTTTAAATCCTTTATGCAATATCACGTGTTTGTACACTAAGTATCATGCTTTAACCCCAGCTGAAAACTAAGCACCATGAAACTGCTTGCTTACTTCCCCTCTTCCATCTCCAGTAGGATGGGAAGAAGAACCAGAAAGGTAAAATCGGTGGGTTGAGATAAGAACAGTTTAGCAATTTAGATAAAGTAAAATTTAATAATAATAATAACAACAAAAATAATAATGAAAAGGATGGTAGCAGAACGAGAGAAATAAACCCCAAGGAAAAACAGGTGATGAACAGTACAGTTGCTCCCCACCTGCTGACCAATGCCCAGCCCAACCCTGAGCAGCGATTGGTCCCTGCTGGACAGTTGCCCTGGGTTTATATGCTGAGCATTATTCCATATGGTAGGGAATATCCCTTTGGCCAGTTGGGGTCAGCTGCCCTGGCCATGTTGTCTCCGTTTCTTGCGTACCTCCTCATGGGCAGAGCATGGGAAACTGAAAAGTCTTTGACTTGGGGAAAGCACTGCTTAGCAACAACCAAAACATGAGTGTGTTATCAACATTATTCTCATACTAGATCCAGAACAAAGCATTAGTATGAAAACTACCTCTATCCCAGCCAAAACCAGGACAGCATGACAAACTTTTTGTGTCTTTGGAACAATACAATTTCTTAATGCAACTTAAAAAATTTAAGTCTTACAGGCATGCCAAAGAAACTAAGTAAAATGTTACTACTTAATTATGACGGTAAGACATGCTTACTTAAACGGGACCTGGCATGGGGGAGTCAGGAACAGTAGAGAGACTTTCTAAGCCTGTGTCTTACATTTTGCCTCTTGTACCTGCACAGCCTGGCTTGGTCTGCCTGACTTTGCCTGTGGAGGAACCATTTGCTCAGAATTTTTATACAAACTTGAAACCTGGGCTTCTTCAAAGGCTCAAAATCAGGATTAGTGCCATAGGCAGGTGAGGCAAATGAACTACTTAAAGCAAAGGGGTAGTTGTAATAGCAAAGGCATCCAGATGAAATCTGGAATAGATGAATGGAACAACAGAGGCCAAAAGGAAGCAGAGGGCACTGTCAAGCAGTGTAGAGGTGGGCAAAGCGAGAATTGAAGGCCAATGCAAAAGGTAAGAGAGAGACTTGGGAGTGAAAAATAGTTAAACAAAGGAAGAATCTTTGTAGGAATTGAAGAGAGATGAAAAACTGAGTCTGACAAGAAGCTGTACCTAGTTTTTTCTTAAAGAAACCGTGTTGCTGCCATTTAAACCTAATTGCAGTGAGTAAACCTGAGTTCTGCTAAAATTGCAGAAGTTGTTTTAGCCAGTTCTTGCTAGTAAAATGCATGACTATAGAACATCACTATCCCCTCGTACTTCTGAAGCAGGGAATTACTATTAACACTGGTTAACAAGCTGGTAAACAAAGAAACAGTAAGTTACAAAGCAAATCTGACACAGAAGGGTTTTGAGGGCAGGTTTTGTTTCAGCTTCAAGGAAGACCATCCTTTTCATCATCAGAATGAGATTAAGAACTGTTCTAATAAATGCCTAGGGTTAAATTATTGTACAAAAAGTTTGTGAATAAGAGCATTTCCTTTCTTGCCTATTGAGAGAAGGGCTTTGTAGTGAAGATTATTTTTCATTTTTTCAGATCTATTGAGTTCTGAAATTCCCGCTCAGTGCTGATAAATCTGATGTGAGCTTTGAAGACAAAGGAGTAGATAATTCTTTTTCTAATTGCATCCAAAACTCTTTGAAGCTTACTGTTAAGATTCACTTGAAGGCTAACAAACATGTGGTCTTCTGTAATGTTATATAATATAGCCCTGTAAATCACTGTCAAGAGGAATGCTGCTGCTTATTTTCATGGTAAGATACATGGGATTTTGACTTTTTTTTCCTAGGCTCAGTAGTCATTGCTAGTTACCATGGAACAACTTCATTGTAGAAAAGACTCCTTTCAGTGAAATCTAAAAATTAAGTAAAATATGAGTAAGCCAAAATTCTTGATATTCTAGTGTTTGTGTGATATTTTTTTGGGTTGCGGGTTTGGTCTCTTCGCTTTTTTTTTCATTTTAATTCTTTCATTCTCCCCTACTGAATGTGTTAAAATCATTAAAATAGTTCAAGGGGTGTAATGATACAACTGAATCTACAAACAGACCCTGAATGCTTCCAATAATTAAAAATCAAATTTGCATATTTTCCATTGCAGGTTTCATAACCTTTATGTAGCACACAGTAATCTCTAATATGAATTCAAGGAGGCCCAAAAGGCAAGCAGGCTATCTGCTTGTCATCTGGTCTTTTTTTCCTGTTGCTTATTAAAATGGTACTTACCCAAATCCAATTTCTCTTGCTTACCTTTGAACATGTGTTAAATGCACATCTGATGTTACTAACATCTGGAAAGTGTGAAGGATTTGAAATCCCCTCGAATGCTGGATTCTCAACAAATGAGACCACGGTGTGCTTTGCATTCACAAGTGTGCTCTTTCTGTATCGTATGCACGTACCCAAGTGCTAAGTACTCTTTTAGAGTTGGTGATTTGTATGTGTATTTTTCACTGCTTATTTCACAGAGCAGAATAAGTGAGTTTCTTTTGCAAGAAGTAGATATGTATACAGATTATTCCCCCACCCAAGCTACTGATAGTTTGAGAGAAAATAGAGAGACAGAAGATGATTAGCCAGTTTGCAGCTGAATTTAGTTTGTTATGTTTTCACTGCTATTTCTTAGTCTCTTGCCTTATTAAATTAAGGATGAGCCTGAGACTAAGACATATTTTGTGTGGCAAAAGTAATTACTTGTTTCCCCCTCAGGTTTTCAATACAAAAATATTCTTCTGTTTGTGCTTCCTTTTGCATACTTGTAAATATCTTCAAAACTGTCCCTGTAATATTTTTCAAATTCTGTTTTTCTGTTTTTACAAATATACTTCTACTTAAATACATTTTTTTTGTGACACTAATGCAGATTTTAGTAATAAGGGAGGAATTTCCTTGTTAAACAGAGGTTTCTGATTTGTGGAGCTTCAAAAATAGTTGTAGATCAGCTGACTGGAAATTAGCCTAGTGAAATAAAACAGAAAATAGTTTAGTTAGCTCTATGACCACTAGTTATGTTCTCAACATAGTCTTTTTGTTGTTGGATTAAAAAGATAAATTGGGTTTATAAAGGGAAATATTGATCTTTAAAGGCCAATCAGGCAGTTGTTTTTTTCTCCAGAGTTGACTTTATTTGTTCAAATACAAGTGGTACACTAGCTTGTAAAATATCTATGAAACCCATTGCATCTAATTTTGTTTCGTTTATGATACATATATATATATATAAACTGTCTATGAGATGAGGGGAAAGGATAATAACAGTGAGAAATGTTCATCTAAGATATAGAAAAGACATAACAAGAATTCCTTTGTTTTCTTATCACTGGAAGACCTATTTGATGTCTTCAAATCAGATCCTGAAGTCTATGAATCAGTGAAAGGGACAAGGTGCTGAATATGGTGTGGAGTTTATTTTAGAGTTATAGAACAACCCAGATTGGAAGTGATCTCAAAAGATCATAGATTTCCTGGCAAAAGGAGCCTAGATGAGATTATCTAGCACCCTGTTCAGTTACATCTTGAAAACCTCCAGTAAGGGAGATTCTACCATGTGCCTGATGAGGTTGTTCCAGTCACAGATTGTTCTTGTTCTAAAAAAATTCTTTTATGTCTAGATGAAACTTCTCCTGGTGCGCCCACACAGATCCTGGCCTGTACTGGGCTCTTCAGTCCAGGTGCAGGACCTTGCACTTGTCTTTGCTTATCTTCACAATGTTCTTGCTATCCCACTCCTCCAGGCTGACTGGCTCTCTGTGCCAGATGGCTCTCCCTTATAACATGTCTATGTCACCACCCGGTTTTGCATCATCAGCAGATGTGGTGAGGATGCTTTCAATCCCATCATCCAGATAATTTATGAAGATGTTCAACAGTGTGGGGCCTGGTACCAATCCTTGAGGGACCCCACTTGTGACAGACTGCCAGCCCATTTTATTTAACAGCTGATTATTTCAGTTGAAAAACTTAAAGGAATTAAGTTCTATTTCATTTATTTGAGAGATTGTAGAGATGTGACTGTGATGTTACTGAATCTTCAGTTTACTTCTTATATTTTTCTGTGAGAATATTTTATTTGTTCTCTTAATACTGCAGCCTGATCAACATCATGAGTAGCAGATCAAGCTGTATTGCTGATTAAGGATGTCCTGACTGTCTTTTTTAAGCTGTGATGCCAAGTTCTTTTCAAATCATAAAGATTTTGTCAGGTGTGCTGGTTTAAAAGTTAACCAGCAGGGGAAATGAACTCAACTCAAAAGAGAGAGTATAAGTCAGAATAACAATTTAATAAAATAATACAATAAGTACAATTATACAAACAAACAATTGGTCTTAACCCACAAAACCCAAATGTATAACCCAGCACCCTGGGGCATGAACAAAGTGGTGTTCCTTGCCCCCCCCCCGAGTCCAAAGTAAAGGGAGAGGGGAAAAACCTGCTGGTGGGAGAGCTGTTGAAGTCTGGTCAAAAGTGGTGATTGCAGTCCAGTTGAGGGTGGTGGTCTCAGTCTGGTTGAGAGCGATGAGATGCAGTCTTCCTCTGGATCCCAGGAGTGGTAAAAAAAGGTTCCAAAACTCCAAGTTTATATATTCTCCAGTTCAGGCAGGAATGCTCAGTCCTCCCCTCAGAGCGGGGAATTCCATAAAAGGGTATGACGACAGGAACATCTACAGGCCTCTACTGCTAACAATTTCTGGGAAATGGCATGGAAGGCTATAGAATACACAGTTTTGGGTTACACCCATACCGTGATGAACTGGTCTCAGCTGTCCTAACTAGGACATCAGGTTTTTTTCCTCAACAAGCCTCTTAGGTATTCAGAGATTACTTCAACACAAAAAAAGTAGGTAAATCTTAGTCCTGAGAAGGCAGTGACATTGCTGGCATTCCTTGAACCAAATAACAAGCAGAGTTACAAAGCCTTACTCAGCAGAGAAGGAGCTGTATGTGAGAGTGAAGGCACAAGATAAAGAAAAATCCCTAAAAGATACCCTGGAAGACATACTGCTGTACTTAATGAAAATAGTTGGAAATCAAATTTTCAGCAGGAAAGCCATTTTTTCTGTTAGAATTAGCAGGAAATTAAGAACACATCACAAGACTAAAGCAGGACTTCTGAGAACAATTACTGGAAATAAAGACGAAATTGGTTATCTAGCATTCATTTTGCACTATTATTGAATCAGGCTGTTTTGTTTAAAGATAATACAGAAGGAAATACTGGTTTTTGGTTTTTTTTTTTAAAATACAGTGGTATGTATAATTTTTTAAAAATCTGCATATCTTTATTGTTCACTGGAGAATCACATCATCTGCGCAATTTGTTCACTATAGTGTCTGTTTATTCATGCTCAAAAACTATCTGTAGTTTTGCTTAAGAAAGATTGCAGTGTGCCACTGCAAGAGAATGCTAAATAAAGTTATCCTGATGAGTAGTAGAATCACAGAATTGTTTGGGTTGAAAATCACCTTTAGTATAGAGTCCAACGAATCACCAAGCACTGCCAACTCCACCACTAAAGCATGTCCGTAAGTGCCACATCCACATGTCTTTTCAATACCTCCAGGGATGGTGACTCCACGAACTTCCCTGGGCAGCCTGTTCCAATGCTTGGCAACCCTTTTGGTGAGGAAGTTTTTCCTAATACTCAATCTAAACTTCTGCTGGCGCAACTTGAGGCCACTTCTTCTTGTCCTGTCACTTATTACTTGGGAGAAAAGACTGACCCGCACCTGTCTACAGCATCCTTTCAGGTAGTTGTAGAGACCAATAGGGTCTCCCCTAAGCCCCCTTTTCTCCAGACTAAACACCCCCACCTCCTTCAGCTGCTCCTCATAAGACTTGTGCTCCAGAACCTTCACCAGCTCTGTTGTTCTTTGCTGAATGTGGTCCAGCACTTCAGACTTGTTTCTTGTAGTGAGGGGCCCAAAACTGAACACAGGATTTGAGATGCAGCCTCGCCTGTGCTGAGTACAGGGAGACAATCACTGCCCTGGTCCTACTGGCCACACTATTTCTGATACAGGTCAGGATGTCATTGGCCTTCTTGGCCACCTGAGCACACTGCTGGCTTATGTTCAGCACCTGTAGACCAGCACCCCCATGTCTTTTTCCACTGGGCTGCTTTCCAGCCACTCTTCTCCAAGTTAATTTATTTTTAAGTCTCCACATTTTTACTGGGACTAGAATTATATGAGGTAAGTGATTAATTATATGGGAATGCTAGGGGAAAAGAAATGAAAAACCTTGATTTAATGCAAAATATAATTAATGCTGTAAAATAGAAAGAAAAAAAGAGTGCTGAAATATCAATTAGGGAACACTCACAGAAACCAATTTATTGAAATTCCACCACCTTTTCTACATGTGTGGGAATTACCCTTGCTAGCCACTTCTTTCTAAAAATGCTTAATGGCACAAAGAAGCTGGTACGTTGCTGCTGAGATTTTGGTATTCTTAGTTTGTCTGTAATATTAACTGAAACTAATAAATACCTCACAGACTCTTAGTTCATGACTGTTTGTTTATAGGACACTGCTCTACAAAAACCAAGAGAAGTTTTCAGGCTGCCTTCAGACTTGACTGCGTGTGATAATCGCCTTTGTGCCTCGATACACTTCTCATCCCCCACACAGGTGACCCTTTCTGATGGTACAGGAAGACTGTATTTAATTAAATCAGGCAAACGTGGAAACAGTGCATCTGAAAAGTGGGAGGTGAGTCCTGCAATAACATATTTAGGACTTGTATGTCTACCAAGTAATTCTTATTGTCACATTTCTTATGAGAATTGCATGTATGTAATGTCTGAAGAATTAAGCTTTAAATCGTAACTCTGTATCACTGATACAGAAGTGTGTTCTAAATTACTAAATGATTTCTTTATAAACAAAATACCTGAAATTCAAGTTTTTGAAAGGGAACAGCCTTTTCACTAAAGAGGAATCTAAGTAAAAGTGAGTGTTTCTAAAAGGTGGTTAGGTGCTTATCTAGCTAAACTTTTTCTGAAAAACATTTCTCCTTTCTCCATTCATATGTGTCTGTCTGGGATTCTTCCCCCACTTTTCACCTCTTATTGTTTAGTCTTTCCATTGGCCTGTGGAATAATATATTTTTTTTTTAAGTTTGAAATTATTCTCAACCAAGCTAAAAACTACGTTCATTTTTAAGTTACGAGGTTTCTGGTCTGCATGATGTTTTTCTCAGTGGGTGTAATTGTGCTTGAAATACTCACCATTTAATTTACCCCATTTTAAAAATACGTCCACAAAGACTAGAATAAAACTTGAACAGAAGTGCCGGTTAGAAGCTTTGATAAGTAACCCTGAGGGTTACTTTAAAAGTAGGTATAGTGTTTAAGCAATATTATTTCCACCTCTCTTGTAGGGCTCGTTCTTCATAATGTGTACTTAGCTCTGGAAAATAATTGGTGCTTAAAATTAAAATTGTTGATTGTATGTTTCTTATGCTGAATTTTATGTTTCTTATGATTAAATTATTTACATAATTAATTCTTTTAAGGAGTCTTGATAAGTAGCAATTTTTTGTATCCATATCAAAGTAATCTCTACATTAATAATGGTATTAGTTATCCTCCTTGGACACAACAAATATAAGTTACATTCCTACCTGAAACTGTGACTCTCCTGTTCAGTGGTGCACTCCTCTTTGTTCATGAAAGATTAATCTGTTATGAAATGCCTGCACTTTGCATCTATTTTCTTAATTAGGGGGAAGTTTCCTAAGTAATCAAGGATGTTCTACTACTGGCAGAAATATAGGTGTATATAGTGAAGTGGAAGAGTTCAGGATGATGGGTTAGCTCCTTTCCCTACACTTTTTGAGAGTTTAGTAAAGGAAATTGGTCATCCTGTTCTTTGGATGCTTGGTAATAAATACCAACTGGTTTTTATTCTGTTCTGTATGAGAATGCTGATACGTTGGAGTTACAAGTTACATTGGAGTTGTCAGTGTAACAAAAACATGAGCTTTATATGTTGAGGTTCTGTCATGGTTTAAATTGATTTCCTGAGTATGTAGAGCACCCAGTGGTTTCTCTGAATGGATACTTTTTTGAGAAAAGCTGAAATACATAGTTTCTAGAATTAAAACTTCCTGTTATATGTACCAAATACTAAATATCTTGTGCTACAAAATGTGGAGTCCTTCTGTGTTTAATTATTTCATGTTCACAGTGGTGCTTATTAGCCTTTCAATATGGCGGTAATACTTATCTACTTGGCCTATCAGATATTGGATGGACTTTTCCTATCTGTATGTATAAATAAAAATTAAAAGAATTCTAACCCCAGCTTCTTAATTTCATTATAGGTTTTTCTTTTTTACTCTCCTTCATAGTACTTCATAAATAAGGAAAATGGAATCTCTTTGCAAAAGATAGTAGCCAAATAAAGAGACTCCTCCTCCCCTTATTTTTGATAATTAAACACTGGCAGTGATGCACTGGACCTTTTTATCTTCATGTTTGCACATGTCAAGGTCTACAAAGATTTTCAGAATGTTGGGGTGTCCAGAGAAGCAGTGAGGGCCTTGGGGAAATGCCTCTATTTTCATCTTGAGCGTGAGACTGTTTCCCCAGTTGATAGACAGTGTTTATGGATCCTGTTGTGCTCAGGATCCATATGGATCAGTTGTACCGCCACATATGTGGTAGTAAACAGCCAAAATGCAGATGGGTTTGGGGATCTTTGTGCTTTGCTTAATATACCCTTATAATGATCGTATAATATAAACAATAGTAACTAAAAAAATTTGAAAATAGTATTTTGACAGTTACAGAAGGAGGAGCCAGAAATGTGTGACATTCATGGATTCATATTGGCAGAGAGGTTTGTGAGGCAAAATGCTACTAATTTGATATTCACTGAAACCTTTCACTGCTTCCTGTGAAAGATCAGGGCTTCCAGGTTTAACTGTCTGACTTTTTTCTACATTTTTGTCTTCTAGATTATGTTTAATGAAGAACTAGGAAGTCCATTTATTATAGCACACAGTGTTTCATTTGTAAAATCTGATACAAATTCACTAGCTGTGCTGCTGCTTAGGGTAGAAAAAGATGAATTGGACACAAAAGGAAGTGGATTTCATGTTACCTTGGAATGGGTTACGATTGCAGAGATAAGCAAAGAGGGTAAGTGTTTTACGTTTATATTACTGGTGATTAATGTTTAAAAAAATAAAAATTGTGCTTTTATTTTTTGTCTTAGAAGTTGCTTTTCCACAACTGCCGATATTTCTTTTCCCCCAAAAGTTCAATTTAGATTTTACATACGTAATTTTTTCTTACATTTTGGGATCAAGCTATTGGTTGTAGGCCTAAATTCTGACAGACATTTGGAAAGCAGGAAGAAGTAAAGTTTTATGTATGTGTGGTGAAGATAATTAAAAAACAAGATAGAACTTTACTTTGATGTTATGAAATGAAATTTTGTTTTAGCTTGGTCTTGTAAAATCGAGGTTATACAAAACTATTCCTAACTAATCTCTGGTTTACTTTTCAAAATGTTGTACAGCTGGATATGTGTCTTTGGTTATGGATTTTCTTGGTGTTTTTGTAGCTTCCAATTAACGACATAGTGGGATTGGAATTAGTATGAGATAAATATAACAACTGTAACATAAAAAAATAAATGCTGCATATTCTAGGTTTTCCTGCAATAAAAGTATGAAGTTATTACATTAATTTTAGAGCTACACATTAAAAACATATTAGTTAGTGTATTAATACCTATTAATATATTATCCTAATAAAGTTTGGCAAATGGTACTTTTCATGTTCAATATGACCATATATACATACATTAATGTAATGATTTACATAAAGGATGCAAGACCCCATGCTTCACTGTCTGATTGAAAGATGCATGGATTAAATTAATATACCTTCTTGGCAAGACTGTGATATGGTCTTGCTCATTATCTTCCAAGAAGTATAATTTTGATACCGATAGAAACAAGATCTTTAAATACTTGAACTAAAGCAGTTGATTGCATCCTGTGGTCTTAATAGTCAAATGTTACTCAATCTCCTACATATATTGTAGGAATAGAATAGAATAGAATAGAATATTTCAGTTGGAAGTGACCTACAACAATCATCTAGTCCAACTGCCTGACCAATTCACAGATGATCAAAAGTTAAAGCATGTTGTCAAGGGCATTGTTCAAATGCCTCTTGGGGCATCAACAGACAGACTTGGGCCTTCAACTACCTCTCTAGGGAGCCTATTGCAGTGTTTAAACACCCTCTCATTAAAGAAGTGCTTCCTAATGCCCAGTCTGAACTTCATCTGGTGCAGCTTTGAACCATTCCCACACGTCCTGTCACTGGATACCAGGAAGAAGAGCTCTCCACTCTTGCTCCTTAGGAAGGCTGTAGAGAGCAATGAAGTGGCCCCTCAGCCTCATTTTCTGTGAACTAGACAAACCTGAAGTCCTCACCCACTCTTCACAGGATATTCCTTCCAGCCCTTTCATCAGCTGTGTTGCCCTCAGTGACTTTATATATGTTTTCTGCTATTGAAATCTTGGGTGATGCCAGTATATCTCAGAGAGACAGAAAGCCACATGAGACTGACTGCCTTATACTTTTGTGACCAGCTCAACAAGAAAAAGAAACCTCTGAACATTACTGGTTATAACTTAGAAGGCAAACTAAATCAGTAACACGGTCAGTCTAAACTAAGACTGTTGCTTAGTGAAAGCAGTAACACAAATTTTTATTATGTTGTCTCATACTGTACATTTTCGTGAACAAATTCTTTTTAACAATGTGGTTTTTATAACTTATGACAAATAGTCATGGAATCCATAGACGTGGATTTAAAAATCTTTCAAAAAGTTTTGCCAGTTTTCCAGCATTTCCAAGAAACAGACAAAATTTTTGAGATTATTGTCAGTAGAGATGTAAATAACAAGATTCAAAGCAAACTGAAGAGAAAAATAAGTTTTGAGTTAATTTAAATAAACAACTCAAAAATCAGACTGATGTATGAACCAGTCTCAAAGACAAAACTTCTTTGAGGAATTACAATTCTTTTCATCCTCTTTCATCCGTAGTCAATTGCTATGCTTAACTTTTCTTGAAACTTTGCCTGTGGGTGCAGTTTATCAAATCATATTGTAGTAAGAGTAAGTAGTTAATCAACAAGCCATTTCTCAAATTGCCAAAATCTGTGATTCATCAAAGCAAAGCCTTAAAACATAGTTATGTCTCTTGACACTAAAAACTGTGAGAGTCTCTGCCATGTCTGCTTGGCCAGACAAAGTAATCACACCCACCACTATTGTATTACCTAAGAACAAAAAAAATGGAAGTATGAAAATAAATCAGAATGGAGGGAGTGGTTAGGTCTGTTCACATCTTCTGTGGTACCTCAGAGGACTGTAACAAAGGTATACCCTTTCAAACTTTATTTTCTTCAGCTAACCAATGTTTTAGGAATCCTCACTGTAAAAGCTTGAAATGAAGAGCCACCTTGCTGCTTTATCAGGCTAAGGAAATGTGGCATTAGCTTTCTTCTGACCTTCTCTACAAGAAAAATCATTCAGTATAAACTTACCAGAAAGATCATAAAGACTTACTTAAAACTTTTTGAAGTTCTGATGTTTGATTAAAAATACTCTACAAAGGTTTTGTCACACAACGGTAAGTTGTGATATTTTAATGCCTTTTAACCGGTGAGCAAATGCTGTAGGAGAGACGTACAAACTAATTTGTTATGTTTCAGTGCATGATTAGATTCTGTCAGTTAAAACAGCTTATTCACAGAGTGGCTAACTGCTCACTGCAACAAAAACATGCTCCTTTTGGTTATATATCTAAGCCAAAGTAATTTTTTAATGTTATAAAGCATGTTGCCCTCTTGCTTGGAGTCTTCTAATTATATGAATGTCTTACTCTGTCTCTAAGTAGAATGGTTGAATCTCTTCAATTAATGCTGCCCTCCCTTCAGTCCAACCAAAGCTTCTAAGAAAAAGAGTGGTGCTTTAATTAACGCCATTAAGTACTGGAGTTACATTATAGTCCAGTTACTAACCTTTAATCCACTTCTTGCTTAGCAAAGAAGGTAACCAACTGAGAGGATTTAAATTATACCTGGGTTATCCATCAGCGTCCAAAGGAGAGCAACGAAGATGGTGAAAGGCCTTGAGGGGAAGCAGGCTGAGGAAGGGCTGAGGTCACTTGGTCTGTTCAGCCTGGAGGAGACTGAGAGGAGACCTCAGTCTACAACTTCTTTGTGAGGAAGAGGGGCAGACACTGATCTCTTCTCTGTGGTGACCATTGACAGTACCTGAGGGAATGGCCTGAAGTTGTGTCAGAGGAGGTTAAGGTTCAGTATTAGAAAAAGGTTCTTCACGCAGAGGGTGGCTGGGAGCTGGAACAGGCTCCTCAGGGGAGTGGTCACAGCACCAAGCCTGACAGAGTGCAAGAAGAATCTGGATGATACTCTCAGGCACATGGTGTGATTCTTGGGGATGGATGGGCCTGTGTAGGGCTAAGAGTTGGATTTGATTATCCTTGTGGGTCCCCTCCAACTCAGCCTATTCTGTAATTCTGTGATTATTATCTGTGTTCTCCTATGACTTTGATGTTTCTCTAAGTTTAACATTGAGGTCAAACATTTTGGAGAGCTAGGGGGACATAGAGGATTTTTACCATCATAATCTCTGGTCTTGTCTAATGTATCTGCTGATTGAGAAATCTAATGATTTCCCAATTTCTTGCAAGTAAAGTCGTAACTACAAGTACAGTGATTTCTTTTAATGAAGAGATGAAGCAGAAATGTGAAAAACTAAACTAAAATTCCTGGGGATGATTTTATCATCTGTGACAATTTTATCAAGTTGTTCTTGAAGACTGTGGGCAGTAAGATTCTGATGGAAAAAGAACAAACGTGCTAGGACCTGTGACTTTACTGGTGTTTCAGAGCACAGTAGGGAGTGATGTGGTCCTTGATGCCAGTAGCTGACATCTGGGACCTCCCTTTTAGAGAACAGTGCCTTAAAAGAGTTGAGGAATATGGGCATTTTCCATTATGAGTAAAATATTACCACTAGCTATTTCATTGTTTCTCAGGTTTTTACAGCAGCTTGAAAATTATTTGGAAAACTTGTTTGTACAGAGACTGTGCTGGGCTAGCTGTGATCAACAAAGACATCATAAATAAAAAAGGCAATCTTAGAATAATCCAATATTTAACAAACTTATTGGGAAATAGAAATTTTCTTTTAAAATACAGTCCTGTGATTTAAGCAGTAGATTTGCATAGTGGTTTTGAGTGTGATGTGTTTCTCAGATAATAATTTGTCTTCCAGAAAAATATTACCACTTTTTTTTTTATAGGTGTTCATAAATATGAAATCATTAAAAGGAGAGTTTTACAAGGAAAATCAGTCCCCCATTATGCAGCAATAGAGCAAAGTGGAGGTGGTCTAATGATTGTTTCCCACAAACCATTCAAATTTATGGAAAGTGAAAGTGACAAATTAGAAGAAAATGATGATACAAAAATATTAAATGAAAAGAAAGGTAAGACTTATCTGTTATGTAGGCTGCTCTCTGGCTTAGAAAATATCTTGTCAGTTTCGCATTTGTTTGGAAACTCTAGCTATAAATGTTTGTTTTAGTATCTGTCTTCTAGACAGATTGGCTACTTCTTCTGTTTGTTTTTTGCTTAAACCTATATGAGGTGCTTTTTTGGATAGGAGACACAATTTTTCTGTCTTAAGAAAGAGGCTATTTTGGAAACAGAACTATACTAAGTATTTGATAGTAGTTGGATTGGTAACACCTAAATTTATGCATCTGGCTGAAGTACTCAAATTAGGAAGCCAATCTTCCGAGATGGGAGGAGGGCATTGACCCCCTCAAATTGTTGTTCCTAAGAAAGCTTTTTGATATGTAATTTACTCCTCCCTAAAATTTAAGTAATAATTTTAAAAAACCTTTTCCTTTTCAAAGAATGAGAATCCTGTAAAAGATTATCTTTCCTCCAGTGGGAAAGCGGTTCAGAAAAAAATAATAATTTCAACAAAAGGCATTCATACTTTATTTTCTTTGCAATCAAAATAAAACTAAATATCTAAAAACCTATTAATAAAGTTGTTTATTAAGACTACTTGGTCTTCCAAAATCATTTCTGTTGAATAGTCAGCATAACCTCTGGCAAAATACGTAAGAAAACTTGTTCATATCTCTGAATGGCATATACTTCTGAACATTCAGTAGCTTAGAAGTACCACTGTACCTGATGTCTCTTCAACCAGATTATTAATCATTAATGTTTCAGTGTATTAAAGTACATTTTGGGTATCAATTTTGTCATGCTACAGTAAACTTAAAGAGTTTACATTGACTTGAGTAATAGTTAAGGTCCATTGTATAACTCTACCAGCATATTTGAGTATAGACATGAATATAAATTACTTTCCAAATGAAGGACACAGACAAACTTGATTGCTAAAAAAGTGTTTCTTCATTTTATGATCAGAATATATTTTGTGTAAATTGTTCAGAGTAAAAGTTAATTTCCACTCTTTCACAAAATTTCATATGTCCCAGCATTGTATGCTATGGGATCGAGTAATCCTTGTATCCTTATAATCTAGTTTGTATTTTCCTGCATGTTTCCAATTGTAGACCCTCTTTATTACTGGCAGCAGACCGAAGATGATGTGACCATAACAGTTCATCTGCCTCAAGACATCACTAAAGATGACATAAAAGTGCATTTTTCTCCTGATAACATATGTGTTACGCTGAGAGACCAACCTCCTTTAATGGAAGGAAAACTCTATTCATCTGTGGACCATGAAAGCTGCACCTGGATAATTAGAGAGAACAAAAGGTATTGTATATGATTTTAGTTTTCCTGTTGGTAGGAACTGGTTTCAGAGTTTATACCGTATTCTCTGGGAATGGGCTCTTTTAATGCTACACCCAATGTCCCTCCTTGCAAGAATCTGTTTCCTCTGCTGAAAACAGTTCACTGTCTTTTGCAATGCTGTCTCACAGTACTGGTTTTTTATCTAATTGTAAAGTAATCCCCCACCACACCCTCCTTTTACAGTTAACTTGCCAGGAAAAAAAAAAGCCAACCAAAACACTCAAACACCAAAATGTTAAACACAGATTTGTAAGCAGAGTCAACTTGAATGTATCTCATTGTTTGTGTTAATAATTTCTCTTTTTACTTCAACTTTCCACAAACAGGCTTTTTTAGTAATAATATAACAGAAATTCTTTAGGTTTGACTTATAATTTCCTTATTATACTTTCCTAATCAATTATACATTATGTACATTATAGAAAATGAATCTGTGTGAACCTAATATGCTGTAGACCACAAACAGAAATATTCATCCTTTTATTTGAGAAGTAAATTTTAGTTTTCTTTCTGAAATAAAAATATGAAATAATGGGGGGGGAAATAATTCAGATCTCCCTAAAACAGTCAGATTTTTGTTTTATGAGTTGTCTAGTTTTCACACTCTGCCTAGACTGAGCCATATATTCACTCACCACACTGGTCAGGCTAACTCAGGGAGATAGTCACACTCTTATCATGAACTCAAGGAGAAACATGTACATCACCAGTTGATCCACTTAACAGTTGATAGCTGTTTATCTACAGCAAAGGCCACCATTTGTGTCAAGATCAGGTCCCCAAAAGGTTAAATGTAAAAAACAGTAATGCTCCAGAAGAATTATATGTTTGTATATAATATACTAATACTGTATATTAAACTTCATGACTTCATGTTTGTTGGTTATTAGGTATCATGCTGAAAAATAACTCAGCTGAGTAACTCAATTTTTTTATTCAGTTGAGTGAGTGATATTGCATGAATCTCAGGCTTACTTTAATGAGAAATAGTAATTCCATATTTCAGTGTAATTAGTTGCACTCGGTTCTTAATGTTTATACTGAAGTGCCACTATAAATCTGTTGATTAAAAGTCTAAAACTTGCTCCAAATGTCTTCTGTAAAAGTGTGCTATTTCTAATACCAATGAAATTGCTTCAGAAACTGATTCAGAGTTCACCAAATAGTTGTTGCTATGATACAGTAGTTAGTAACTTAAAGGGTTTTCTGTCAGAAACACTATAGCTGTTTTCGCTGGAGACCCTGTAAGTGTATCTAAAAATTGAGTGTAATAAAACTAACTTTAATTTTATGGTTATATCTGTGTGTTTGTCTAAGAGAGTATTTAAATGGAATTGCTGTGTTGGTGCATTGAGCTAAGTGTCTTATTTTGCATTTAGTTAATTAGTTATTCCTAATAATTTAATGATTATTCTCTGTTGAGAAATGATTATTCTGTTGGGTTTTTTTATGTTACAGAAATCTTACTTCTTCTGAGATATTATTTTAGATAGTATATATAATTAGCTGTTGTAGTATTTCTGAAGTCTATTAAAACAAATATTTTTGTCCTAGATATCCACACTTAAGTAGCCCTAGGAACCACTACTTATGTTTCAAATAAACTGCTGTAGTAAAAGTCTGGCAGTATTTGAAAAAATTGTTTTACAAGTGATCTCCTGCTGTATATGAAATATTTTAATGAGTCTACTTCAGGGGAAACTGCATTTACATTGAAAACCCTGAGGTTTGTGCTTAGGCTTTTAGAAATCAATCCTTGGTCTGTTTTTCTTTAGAATATTTTTTTCTTAGAATGGTTTGTTTTATAATTTGAATGCTAATGGTTTCTTTGATTTTCATTATTAATTCAGCTTGATGAGAGGTGCTCTAATCTAGAGGATTTTTTTACTAATCTGACAAATGGATATAGTGTTTTCATGTGCTACTCTTTGTATTCTCTTTGCATTTTAGTTTGGAAATTTCTCTAATTAAGAAAAATGAGGGATCCCGGTGGCCAGAGCTAATAGTTGGTGACACAAGAGGGGAATTCATTATGGACCCTTCCCAATGCTCCGAAATAGCTGAAAGCCTGATGCATCTGACTTCTGAAGTAATGGTAAAGAGTTGAAAATAAAGCATTCAAAATTCTTGTACATTTGCATGTCGTCTTTTCTTGATATCCTAATTTGCAGTTCATTGACCTGGTTCATTAGTTCATTTACTATTCAGACTCCTAACTACATTCATTTTTAATTGAAACTGTTAACAAACAAATGGGACTAGAGTTGTGAATGTATTTTCAACAGTAATATCATCTTCATATGAGACTCAATTTAGCTTACACGATAGTGTCTGTGCACCAAACAGAAGCCTGATTTAACATTGAAAATAAACTTTGTTCCCACCATTTAGGATGTGGCCGTTTGTTTTAAAGCGGTTAATTTGATTTTGGAGGCTGTCTGTTTCTTGTTTATCAATAGGTTAGCAATACTGTATTTGACCTACATACGGTGAGCGTAAATGACATGTTTAAAAACATGACTCATGAACTTTCTGGCATTATTGTTATGCAGGAAGTCTACTTAAAACAAAATAAAATGTAATTTTTAACTGCTGTTTGCTTGATACTTCCCCTTTGGTTTAATTAGAAAATGGCATCTCATCTAAAATTTTTGAAGTGTGATTCATTGTGGTTCTTGATGTATCAGTTTTGGATTATTACTTTTTTTAAATAAGGCTGAAAAGTGTTACTAAATTCTGTTTAGTACTTCAAATTGATTTCTCTCCTCTCTCCCTCACTATTTGTGAGTAAAATATTGTAGTATATCTTTTGACTATAGATTCTTTGGGAACTTCAAATATCTTTTCTTTTGTACCCCATACTGAGGTTAAAATGATGATTTTTTTTAATTGTAGTTTTCATTAATTTAAAAAACATTAAATATATTTAAATAAATTAAAATTTTTATTAGCAAAGCTAAAAGGAAGCATGTATTGAGAACTCCTCACAAAATTAATTAATCCATTTTTTAATAGCATTTTCAATAACAGGCTGAAACAAGCTTACACTGGTGTACATTTACTAAATGTACATAGGTTTTCAGGGTTGTATACTTTTGCTACTTAGAGAAGGGAATTTATTGACCATGTTTTAGTTGCTTATGTGCCTTTCCTCAAACTGAAATGGATTTTGTTATACCTACCACTCATGCTATCCTCCACATCAGAAACGGTTCTATTAATTTTGAATAATTTCATAATAGCTTAATCTTTCAGTATGTATGGATAGGCAAATGATTCTTCCAGTTCTGTTGATTTTTTTTTTGTTGTTGTTATGTAAAGAGATTTATATTTTTTTTTTCTGTAGTTTGGATTTTCAGTGTCGTCCATTGTCTTTATTTCAGAATCCAAACCCTGAAAAGGAAAAACCACCTTGTAATGCTCAGGAATTAGAAGAATGTGATGCTTTTCTTGAAGATGGCGCAAGTTTGTGCAGATTTGATGGCGATACCTTGAAAGTTACTCATATAGTAAGTACTGCAAATTACTACAGAAGTACTTTAAAACATTTTTATATGCAAGTTGAATTCTGTTATCGGTACAAAAATTGCAAACTCTTGAAAACACATTAATTTCTTCCATAACATCGTATCACAGTAGCAACAGAAATTGTCCACCCAGATGTGTCCTTCAATGTCATTTTAATATAAAAACAAGGCTCCTTTTGTTCTGATTTAAAAATATATATACTTTCACAAGTCAACCATTTGAAAAAGCAAAGTTATGTCAAAATAATTATAAGAAAAGGGTCTTTTTCAGTGGCATAATATTCTTTAGATGGCTTAGTTTGCAATTTTCTTAGTAATTTTTCAGATAGCCTGGTAGAAAGTGGACCCTTTTTACCAAGAAGGTGGAGCATAGATCACTTTATGATACTTCTTTGTCAATCACACTGAAAATAACAGATTGTAGGCAAAATGCTTTAATAACGTGCTTGATCTGGACTGTAAGCAACCTTGACTAACAGTAAAATTAGAACCTGATCTGGTCATCTGGCTAGAGTGGGAAAGAGCAAAATCTTACAAAAACATTACAGATCAACTCATTGTCTTGTGGTCATTTGGGGTTTTTTTTCAAGATGTTTCTATTAAACTTGTAATAAACATTGATTTTGCACCCCATCGCTACCCTGTGTCACACAAAGTACATGTAGGATAACCTGTTTTGTACAAACATGTCATAGTTACAGGATAAGATTTGATTCAGTTCATAATTTTCTGTTTCCTCTGAAAAAGCTAGAGAAGAAGTCTGACGTCTGTATCTTAGAGAGCTTGGTGTTTTGTTTGTTTTTTTTTTTCTTCCTTGATTTTTTTTTTAATCTCTTGTCTTTTTTCCTCTGGCAGTACAGATACATGGCTCCACCAAGAAAATAGTCTGGTTTGTGGGTACAGTGTGATAGACAGACATTTGTCAGTAGATAAAATCTGTTATTGGTAGGAGGACATTTTACAGAAACTCTTTTCAAAGGGATTTTAGCTATTCAGTGATATACCAAACACATCAGGCATAAGTAGAAACAAGAGGTTCAAACTGAATAAAAGGAAAAACAACCATTGTTGTAGCATGGATTGGGTTGCCTAGTAAGCTGTGCAGCTTCTATCCCTGAGGTTTTGAAGCCCAAACTGGATACAGTCCTGAATAACTGAGCCTAAACTATTGCTTCTCACTCTGAAGGGTAAGAATTTTGTGTCCCAGAGACATTTCCCAGATCAGGAGGAACATGAGATCATGGCATCAAGAAAGGTTGCTTTCTAGTGGGCAGCAAGATATTATAGTGCAAGTTTGAACTCCACAAAATGTTTGTAAAGAGTTCCTAAAATGGGTGGCATAAAAGTAATTCAAAGGTTAATGTGTGTCAAGCATTATGGACAAAGGACAGTTACTGTGGATAGATTTTTGTTTCAACTTCATCTATGTGAACTTGTGGTTTTGGTCCTTGTTGGAGTGTGTAGGAATATGAGTATTTCAGTATATTTTTCATCTTACAGAAATGTATTTTCATTTTTATTTAGTTCTTCTTTCAAGTTGTTTGGAGTTGTTTTTGTTAGCATTTCAGGGGCCCGTTCCTTCACAAATGTGGCTGGTACAGCTTTTCACCCACAACTCCTACAGACATATTTATTGACAAGTGTTCCAATCTGATATTTAGTAATTATTTGATTGTAACTAAATTAAAAATGTTGACATTTTCTAGTTTTAGTATTCTGACTAATCCTTGTTTCAGTGCTTACCAGCTTTTACCTCAGAGGGACAGTATGTCCTTCCCTGTTGGCATTGCAGAAAACCAGACGTGATTACTTAGAGAGAATCTTTTCCTAACATTAGAAGTTGCAGGTTAGGATCCTCTGTCCTAGAAAACCATTTCTGCACAAAACACATTCCCATTTGCTTGTATACTAGAGGTAATGTTTCTCTAAATATTATCCCAAGGAACTTAATTGCATCTGTTTGAAATGTGTTAGGTGTCTGTGATGTATTGAGCTATTGACCAGTGGGGATGTAGCATAATGTATTCAAGCATTTTGTCAACTAACAGACATGAAACCGTTGATCATCTGACTTTAGCATATGTGTAACAGAATCTGCTTTTTATGCTTTGAATCAATATTTGTTTTGTTTTCAGATTAATCTTGGAAGCAACCCGTATCTTTTCTCAGTTGTTGTGAATCCCAGAGAAATGCCATGCTTCTGCCTGAGACACGATGTTGATGCTCTTCTCTGGCAACCTCACTCTGACCAACCAGAGAACATGTGGGAACACATTGCAACTTTTAATGCTTTAGGTAGGAAATTAAGTTCTGTGTCACACACCTGAAACTTTTCTATCTGAGTGCTTTTAGTATGGCTTCTGTTGATATTTCTCTTACTTAAATCTTAATTGGAAGTTACTATAATTTTGTTGATAGCAGCGTGGTAGCTTAGTTTTAGACATAAGAGAGCATAGAAATAAAATGTTTATGCTCTGGAAGGAAAATAAGCCTTTTCAGACCATGTACAGGATGCAAGCACAGTACTGCACAGTTAAAAGGAGAGTTCCTTGGATAAGTGAACTTGAATTAGAGACTTGAAAAGCACAATCACCACATTAACACCCACACAGAAAACATCCAAGAAATAGCTACAGTTAATTGATTATGTGTCTAGGTATATGTAAACTTAAGGTAAGATGTTTTAATAAGAGACCTCTAGATTTTTGCTGTCTCGTTGTCCCATGTCATAACCATTGCCATGCGTTGTTCAATGGGAGTGAAGCAAATAACCTTTCAGAAAGATGGTAGATCATTTGGCAAAGATTGTGTCTCAAGCCTCTCTACAAAAGTGTGAAAAGAAATCAGTCTGAAATAAGTCTGATTGCTAATAGAGTCCTGTAATGAAAGAGAAAAAGGAAGATTTTTCTCCGAGTGAGTATTAACGGAAATTACAGTGTGTTGAAAAGTAACTCATCTTTTTCAGTCAGTTCTAAATAGAAAACAGGTTTTAAGTGTCTGTTCGAGATTAGAGAGGCTCAGAAATCTTAATTTTTAGATGTAATTACACACTGGGAGATAAAGGGAGAGAAAAGAGTTATTCTGCTAATATTGGGTGAAGACTGCCCTTAAGGGCCATATCTGTGCCTTATGATCCTGCTGAGAAAATGAAAGACCTTGTGGGGCTTTTATCTAGCTGTACATACATATGTATAAAAAACACCAGTTAAGATGATGTACAGAAGAATTGTATATTGGCATTAAACTGTTTAATGCATCCCTCCAGAAACTGTTGCCTTATGTAATAAGAACATATATCTTCTTTTTTTTGTTACTAATTGCATATTATTTTTTAAGTTAAGCTTGGTTTTGTATCGGCCAGTTAAAGTGCTCTTGAAACCAATATATTACTTATTCTGCTTGGTTTTGGGCTACACAGGTTATGTCCAAGCATCAAAGCAAGACAAGAAGTTCATGGCTTGTGCTCCAGATTACTCCTACGCTGCTCTTTGCGAGTGCTTGCGACGAGTTTTCATCTATCGTCAGCCGACTCCTCTGGCCACAGTTCTCTACAACAGGAAGGAAGGAAGACAAGTAGGACAGGTTGCTAAGCAGCTAGTAGCAACCCTGGAATCAAATGATCCTATCTTAGGCTTTCAAGCTACAAATGAGAGATTATTTGTTCTCACAACAAAAACCTTGTTTTTAATAAAGGTGAACTCTGGAAATTAATTATTCAGTGTGCTCTGCTGTAGTTTGTGTTAACAATTTGTTGTAGAACTGGATAGGTAGATGATCTGACAAGTTCAGTGCAATTTGCTGAAATTCAAAAAGGGGATGTTTTACAGGGGAATCAAACTTTTTCATTAGAATATGTCTGTAAGATAGCGACAAAGTTTTTTGACTTTGCTGCCACTGAAATAAGCTTTTTCAGAGCTATGGGAAAGTGTCTTCTGCATCAACAGCTTTGTCAAAGCAGTTGTCAGAGGCTGCTACTGCACATGTGAATAGATTTATGCATTGTTTGTTCCAAATGACTTTGTTTGACATAATTCTGAATTTTGAGAATTCACTTCTGTTTTTAAATGCCACTGTTTACCTATGAAAAAAGTGGCATAAAGAGTTACAAGTGTATGATGTGCAAAGTAGAATGTATCATTAAAAAAAAAAATCCCCAATTCAAATACTCTTGACCAAAAACTTTTGATATTTTGACATTCAGTAGTATTGAGTAAAATGTGAATGAAATTAATGGAGTGTTATGTATCTTATACAGGTACTTAAGTGGAGCAATTTCATGGCATATGCACATTTTAGATTATTGGTTTGGGACTTACTTATGCTTGCAGTGCAATCTGTTCATATTTTAAGAGACACTAGAATACCTTCTAGTAGCTTTTTCCAGAAGCAAAGTAAGAGTCAAAGTATAGCTGGCAAATACACATTGAATGCTATTAGTTAAGGTCTGGTTATACTCTCAGTTGTGCCATTTTCATTTGACTTTGTACTTCATCTCAAGTGACTAATTTACAATGAGAAAATGGCTGACAGAAAAAGCACCAATATTGTAAAAAGCACTGGTATTGTAACCTGGGATGGGAAACTCAGAAGTGCTACTTCTGCCTCTGATCCCACTGTAAATGCTGTGTTACCATTCTGTCTGTGATGCTCAAGTCCAGGTGTGGTATATTTGCAACATAAGAGTACTCAGGCCAGTGAGGATGCTTTGGTTTGACAAACAGCTGTGGTTGAGTTGAATAGTTGTGTCTGAAGATTTTTGGTTTTGTTTTTTTTTTTTCTTTAGATTGGCATTGTCAATACATTTAAACCAAAGGGTCAGTTGTGACAGCTTCACCCTGGGTTGGGTTTTTTTTCATAGTTTGTTTAAAACTCCATAACAAAGAATGCCTAATATATTGTGTACTGGCAGGAAAGCTGCTGTTATCTGTGGTACCAAAGTACTGAGAGAGTCACAAATACAAGTGGCCTTCTAGTTTGCATCTCTCTTCTGATATCATTTCAGAACTCTGTTAAGAGTATTGAGAGAAAAATAAGTGTTTCTTTAGTTGTGATTGTTTTTACTCTCCTGTAAATTTTCCAGACTTGTATTGGTGAACTGATTAAATAATGAGTGAGAATTTAAGAGGGAGGCAAGCAGTTGTACCTTGCAAAAACCCTTGCAGAAACTTTCCAAGGAACCTGATTTTCCTTCTCCTTACAGCAGCGTTATGTCATATATCTAATATTGAAAAGTTTTTCCTTGCTCTTTTAAAACTATCTTGGAAATGCTTTTTCAAAAGGCTTAGTGAATGTATTACCATTTCATGACTGTTTTGCATCTAAATTTTAATTGTTGGGCAATAATGTCAAACAAGGTGGTAGAATTCCAGCAGAGGTCCTGTAGAAAAGATTTGATATAGCTTATTACTTTGCAGCATAAAGTGCTTTTACATGTATATGAATATTACTTAGTAACCTGAGATTTAATCATTGTGAACACGGAGTTAAGAACGTGATATTTGGGAAATGGAGGAGTGAAGGATTCATAGCCACCATGATTTTGTCACCTTGGGTCTACTGCAGGAAGCTTCAATATAGATGAGAATTTTAGCTTTGTCAAATTCATCTTGCTGTGAGGTAGATATCTGGAAACATGCTCTGCTGTCTCAGGCAACAGTGGAAACAAATAAAATGGTTACCTCTTCAGAGGCTATATTACAATATGTAATGACTAAAACTCACATTCTGCCCAAATGTGTCCATTGCAAGGGAGTTCTTGTTTACTCTGGAAACAACTGAACATCCCTTTTTCCATGTTACTCATCTGTTTGCAATCATGGTGTTCTCAAAAGGGATGTATTAAATACTCTCTCTCTTATTTTGCTTTCTATGAGAGTTAAGGATATTTTATTATTTAAAAGATTTGTTATCTTGAGGAACCTGGCATGCTGTTACAGGGCAATCCCAAGCACAAAAGCAGGGTGGGCAGGAAATGGATTGAGAGCAGCCCTGGAGAGAAGGACTTGGGGGTGTTGGTGGGTGAGAGGCTGGACATGTGCTGGCAATGTGCGCTTACAGACCAGAAAGCCAAACGTCCTGGGCTGCATGACAGGAAGCATGACCAGCAGACTGAGGGAGGTGATTCTGCCCTGGTGAAACCAGGTGAAAATGTGAAACCAGCTGCCCTGGTGAAACCCCACCTGGAGTGCTGTGTTCAGCTCTGGGCTCCCCAACATAAGGAAGACGTGGACCTGTCGGAACAAGTCCAGAGGAGGGACATGAAGATGATCAGAAAGCTGGAGCACCTCTGCTATGAAGACAGCCTGTGGGACTTGGGGTTATTCAGCCTGGAGAAGAGAAAGCTCTGGGGAGACCTTATAGTACCTAAAGGGGGCCTGCAAGAGAGTTGGGGAGCGACTTTGGAGAGGGACATGTAGTAATAGGACAAGGAAGAATAGCTTTAAACTGAAAGAGGGTAGGTTTAGATTAGGATTGGAAGAAATGCTTTACTTTGAGAATGATGAGACATTGGAACAGGTTGCCCAGAGCAACTGTGGCTGCCTTCTCCCTTGAAGTGTTCAAGGCCAGGCTGGTGGGGCTTTGAGCAACCTGGTCTAGTGGAAGGTATCCCTGCCCATGGCAGGGGGGTTGGAACTAGGTGGTCTTTAAGGTCCCTTCCAACCCAAACCATTCAATAATAACTAAATGGCTGCAAGCCTCTGGGATGCACTCACTATCAGTATTTCCATTTCTGCGTTCACTTACATTTAAGGCTCATTTATTCAGCATATCCTGAGTAGGCTTATACAAAGTATAGAATGTGGATTTTTAAAATAAATGGTCTTCTGAGAACTGAGAATCGTGCTTCAATTTTTCTAGGATTTTATTTCTTGAAATCTTAACATTTTAAGAGACAGTTCTTCCAGAGAGGTTCCAATCACAATCTGTTTACAGAATTTCTGAGAAATTATTTGGCTATTACAGATTTGCATTATTTGCTTTTAGTATTCTTTTTCAGTGCTTTCCTTGGCTGCATGTTTGAAATGTATCATGTATTCTTCTACAACTTTAAATAAATGGAAAAAATATAAAATTTATTAATAAAGGGGTTTTCTATTATTTTAAAGGATTTATGTTAATTTCAAATCTTTATCCTTCCTATGCTACTGAAATAAAATAGAAAAATAGAAATAAATCCTTAAAGTAAGACTTACGTTAAGGAGCTTTCTGTTAGGGCAAAGTTCTAAAGAGTGTCTGCTGCAAGACTGTGGCACTATTGCACTCCTCACTTATCTCTTTGAAATCTTGTTAATGTTCCATTTCTGCCAACATACAAATTTACAGAGGTAGTTACTGAAGGGGGTTGATAAGTATTCAGGTATATTCTTGTTCAGGTATATATTCGGGGCCTCTGGTGGTCTAGTGGTTAGGGTGCAGGACTCTCACCGCTGCGACCCGGGTTCGATTCCCAGCCCCCCGGGCAGATGGAGCTCGTCAGCCCTGTAAGGCAATCCATCTAAGAGAAGGTCACTCTAAACAAACCTACGTCCTGAGGACCTCACTGCCACTGTCCAAGCTTGCTCGGCCCCGGCAGATGAACCTCAGGATTAAAGGGTGGGCTCACTTCAGCGCATGCTGTGTCTCACCTAAAAAATCCACTGCGCAGGCTCGAAGCGTCAATGACCTTTCCCAAATCTTCGCTCACGAAGACTGACCATTATTTATTATATATTCTTGTTTTAAAGTGCACATTACACCTCTTATCCTGTGTCTTTTTTTGTGTACAAGACCCAAATGATCTGGGCAAACCCTTCTATGTGGAAGAGGGAGATCTGCCCTTCCTTCCTCTCCCCTACCTCAGCACTTCCTTTTTTGCAGGAAAGTGAAGGAGACGAAGGATTTGATCTGTGTGTATGTCCTGTGTCAGAAAGTGGCTCTTCGTTAATGAAGCAGTAGACCCTGTGAGAGTAGAAATAAGGTTGAAGCTTCTATTTTATTTCAGTTTTCTGTACTTTGTTTCAATAATGCACCACTAGATCTTTGTAATTTCCTTGCCTTCTGTCAATTTGTTTTTGCTTCTCATTATGCAGCCTAGATGAACTTGAAGCCTGCAGTCAATCACACATTAATTTTGGTTTAAAAATTTGTGCTGCCAGTCCTATGTGCCATTTGTAACACATTTCTGGAAATCTGGTGGGATTTGTTTCTCCCCATTTTTATCTGTGCTATGGATAAAGATCAGCAAGGTCAAAAGGCTTAGCTGATGCTTGGCTCTTCTACCTCAAAGACTGTCGCAAGCATTTCAAACTCAAAGTTTAGTCCCTTTTGCTCGGAGAAGTATTTGCTGGAGTAATATTATTTTTGCTTTATAAAAGGTTTAAGCTACTCCTAAAAAAATTACTTTTTTTTTTTCATAAAGATATTTATCATGAAGTGGTAGCTGAGTATCAAAGTATGATGATAGATATAATTAACAATTTCAGAAGCAGACCTGGAAAATGCTTGTTGTAATCTTTACTAATCTAATGCTCTAGGCAAAATATCCTTTATATTTCAGTATGATTTGACAAATCAATTGGCAGTTGCAAAGAATTGTCAAGAACAACAGGGGAACGTAAATTTTTAAAAATTAATCATTTTAGACTGTCACATAATTCATCATTATGCTATGATGAATAGACCCTAACTACTAGTGTATTCCACTAATACATTTCTTAATCTATTAATTACATTCTGAATGTGCCAGAGTTGTGTGTGTATGTACATTGGTATTTTCATCTGCATCTATATATGCACACACTTCCAGAGAGGAGAATCTTTTAACATTACTGACAGCAAAGCACAGATTCTTTATTAACCTGTTCATGACTCTGTTGTGAAGCTTAAGTATAAATACTTTGCTGTATTCTAAAACATGGATTTACACTTGGGAATAAGTTCTTGAATGTGAATAAATGCTGATTATTAGTTCAAAGGCCCCTGGAATCTGCCTTGCAATGGTTTTGGTTTATCTTTTTTACTGTTTAGGTTTTCCTGTGCATGTTTCCCCACATCAAAATGCAAACACCTGTAAGTCTGACATAAATATATTGCAATGTCATAGTAACTGCTTTATGTGAAAACATCAATCTTGTGGTGTTTTCTTTCTGCTGAGGATTAAATATGATATATCTCAATATTTCATTATACCCAAACTTAAACAGCTCAGAGGCCAAGTATTGAGTAGAAGACTCAAGCTGGCAGAAATGATGCAGGTATAATAAGCATTTATTTTTATCAAAACAAGTGATGTTTAGCGGAAAAAGAAATAAGATCCACTGAATACTAATTCAGTCACTTCAGGCACAAAAATTGGAGCTGATTGGCCTTTAATGATTTTTCTCTTTGAAGCTATTAGTTCTTCCTGTTTCATGTATTCCCCTCTAATAAATATAGAGTACTTTATGGTAATTTTAGTTTTAACAATTTATGAGAATGTTCTGAGTAACTGAATTAGACTTGCATATGGACTATCTAACATGCAGGCATGAGGTACAAGATGGATACATCTAGTCAAAAAGAGACTAGGAACTCAGGCTCTTGATTTGATCAAGGGCTGGTGACCATCTAAACAAAAATGAAAACTGATGCTTTGAAGACATTTTTGTGATTTGCAATGTCAGATTCTAAAAAGAGTAAAAATATGGGAATCTGTCCAGAATCATCATAGAATCATGGAATGGTTTGGGTTGGAAAGGACCTTAAGAATCATCCAGTTACAACACTCCTGCCACGGGCAGGGACACCTTTCACTGGACCAACTTCACTGGACCAACATCCACAAATTCTCTGGGCAACTTGTAAGTCCCTCTCCAATTTTCTTTTAGGCCCCTTTTAGGTACTGGAAGATGCTGTGAAGTCTCCCAGGAGCCGTCTCTTCTCCAGGCTGTACAACCCCAACATTCTCTGCCTGTCTTCACAGGAGAATAAGCCTGCTTAGGCAAGATATGATATACACAGGCTCCCTTTTAAAATCTTATACTGCATTCAAAGCAGTTGGATCAATCAGAAAGAGAACGTTTGTGATCAAGTCTTCCTCTGTTGCCATTTTTATGCATTTGGCAAGGATAAGTCATCAGCAAAACTGCCAGGATGCTGGCATGATTGGAGTCACTCCTTTTGTGCTGTTTCTTGCCTGATGCAGCTCCAGATGGTTGCTGCTGTCTGAAAAATTCACAAGGATAGTAGTTAACAAGATATTTAAGCAAAAAGTATTTGCTACTGTTAGCAGCACAGTTCTGAGCCTCTTTGAATCCAATGTGACATCTGATAAAATCTGCCTTTTCACAGTTTTCTCATAAAACAAATGAACAAAAAAAACCAAAACCTTGAACAAGCAAAGAAACAAAAACAATATAAAAAACACCCCAAAACACCTAAAACTCATGTTGCTTTATTTTTGTTTCACTGTTTTATCTGGGAAGTACACAAATACCTTTCTCTTTCTGTTTTTAGAAATCTTTGTCCTGTGCTATAAGAAACAGATGCAATATCCTCAAAGTTTGGTCCTGGTGTGTCCTAATGCCATGGGGACAGCAGTGTACCTGTTACTGACTCAGTTGTGTTTCAGAGAAAAATTAGTGTGCAAGTTGCTTAAACTGCTAGCTGTTCCATTGGGAAGTGGGGGAAAAGTGAGGTCAGCTTATTTTTACCGGGTTCACTGTATCTGTTTGCATGGCTGCAGTCTCTGAAGTCCATGTGATTCAACATACTGGAAGGTCTCAGATACCCAAAGGGGGAGCTGTGGGCTAGTTAGCACAATGTTTCACTGTGTGAACCCATCCGATGTGTCTATGCAGATTTTGGTGCTCTTACCCAGTTACCCGACATCACAAATCTATTTTCTATGGTAGCAGAAGTAAGTTTACTTGCTAACTGATTTGCTAACTACTTTGGAAGGAAAGAGCACACATTAGATTCTTGGAGATACATTTCTATATCAAATGCAATTTATACCATGACAAATCAGTTACATGATTTTGACTTCAGGTTGTTTAATGTTTATAATTAATGACTTCCCAGAACTCAAATTTTCTAGTGGAATTATTCACAGACTTGTAGATTAACATATGAGAACATGAATTCAGAACTGGAGATAATTAGCAGTTCTCATTAGTATTTAATTTTCAGTTGGTTATTCTGTCTTCATTTTTATGGAGGAAACTTTTGTGCCTTCAGATGTGGTGTGGGTTAGAGTTC